AACCTGGCCTGGACGCTCCTAGGGATGGGGCAGCCACATCCCAGGTGCCCAGCAGGGATGTCCCCCCCAGCCCATCTCACCTGGGATCTCGTGCAGGAACTCGTGGGAGGTGCGGGACAGGATCCGGACCCCGTCCAGCTCGGGCACCAGGTGGGAATCCTCATCCAGGACAAAGCTGTGCTCCTGCTAAGGGCTGGGGGGCACACGGCTCCGGGGGCAGCCCCAACCCCCACTGCCGAGGGACCACGGGGCTGGGGGTGCTCAGAGGGGAGGGTCCCTTCCTCCCCTTTTCCCTGCCAGGATGGGGCCAGCTATCCCTGTAAATACCTGTCTCTGGGACAGCAGAAGGAAGGACCTGGGAGGGAGTGGGGGGACTGGGAGCATCCCACGGGACAGGGAAAGGGCCTGGGAGCAACTGTGGGGGCTGCAGAGCACTTTGTGGGGGCAGGAATCCCCCAACCACCCTGGGCAGGGCCAGTGGTCCCACCACAGGAGTGGCACCCTCAGAATAGGGGAGCTTGGAGGGGCTGGGGGAGCTTTGGTGCTCCCCAGGAGCAGGGAGGGGAGGGGGATCCCAGCAGCACACGGTCACCGTCCTGTGCCCACCCTGGGGGGCTCTGAGGGGACCCCCGGGGACAGCAGTGACTGTGGCAGGCAGGAGCTTGGGCTGGGCTTTGGGAACATCCCCTCTTCCCAAAGGATACCGGATGCACTCCGAGGAATTCCCCACCACCATGAGCTGCCGCTCCCAGGCCACCACCACGGCTCGCTGCCGGCTGCGGGGCCGCGTGCACCTGGGGGACCCCACCCGTGAACCCCGGCCCCTGTGGCCCCATGGCGGGGACACCAGGGGGACCCCACCTGTGAACCCCGGCCCCTGCGGCCCCACGGCTGGGGGGGACACCAGGGGGACCCCACCCGTGAACCCCGGCCCTGTGGCCCCACGGGGGGGACACCAGGGGGACCCCCGAGCACTGCCAGGGGCAGGGGCGGGGCAGGGACCACCCACTCACCAAACCATCTGCTTGGGGGGGGATCGGACGGTGCTGTTGAACTCGCAGAGCTTCTCCTGGGGGAGAGAGGGGGGATCAGGGAACACACCTGGGCAGCTGGGGTGGGCCCCGGGAGCGTGGGAGCCAGGGATGAACTCAGGGGAAGGACACCCCAATTCTCATTGTTTTTTTAATCAAACTAAACCAAGTCCATTCTAATTCCCATTTAAGAAAATTAATACCAAGAAAAGGATTTCACTTGTGGAAAAAGAAAATCAAAATGCTACATTTCACATCTGGGCTTTACTTAAGTCGTAAAATCACTCATTAATTTTTTGCCTGATTATTAAAAATATATCCCCACTGCTGTGGCTCCAGCAATTCAGAGTTTCTACACTGCTGAACTCACTCCTCAAACTTCCAACATGGCCACACTCAGACAATCCCTCTGTACATAACGTATATCAAATGTTATATATTATATATATACATGGGCTCCTGCAGCCCTGAGCACGTGGGGGCCCCCAGTGCCCCCCCAGGCTCACCTTGAGCGTGGCCAGGCCCATCCAGATGTACCCAGAGTCGCAGAACAGGGCGAGGAGCCGGTGGTTGAAGGACACAGCCATGTGCAGGAACGGCCCAGCCGAGGGGCTCAGCCCGGGGGGAGTCTGGGCAGGACAGGAGGGGACGTGGGGACACGTCCTGGGGTCCCAGAGTGTCCCCCCTGGGTGGGAGGAACTGGGGAAGGGTCAGAGCTGGGGGGCCCTTCCCTCCCACTCAGCCCTCCCCCCTCTGGGCAGGATGGGGCACCAATGGGACAGCGGGAGGGAGGATCTGGGAGAGAGTGTGGAGGGCTGGGAGCATCCCATGGGACAGGGAAAGGACCTGGGAGCATCCCCTGGGACAGGACAGACAAGGGAAGGACCTGCCATGGAGTGTGGGGGCTAGGAGCATCCCGTGGGACAAGGAAAGGATCTGGGAGAGAGTGTGGGAGCTGGGAGCATCCTGTGGGACAGGGAAAGGATCTGGGAGCATCCCCTGGGACAGGACAGACAAGGGAAGGACCTGCCATGGAGCGTGGGGGCTGGGAGCATCCCGTGGGACAGCGGGGACAGAGAAAGGACCTGGACACAGGGACAGGGCCCGCAGTCCCCCCATTCCCACATTCCCACATTCCCATTCCCTCACCACGCTGGAGCAGGAGGTGTTGTCCAGCAGGAAGAGCTCCGGTCCCACGGCCAGGAGCACCACGGTCACCCTGTCCTGGGACAGCACAGCCCAGCACGCCGGGGGCTGCTGCAGCCCTGGGGGACAGCGTGTGACAGGGGCACAGGGGCACGGGGGACACAGGGGGGCATGGGGGCACAGGGGGACACAGGGGGATGCAGGGACACCCACCGGGGACCTCGGGCAGGCGGCGCAGCTTCAGGTCGTCGATGTTGGTGGCCAGGGAGAAGCGGAAGGCCCCGGTCAGGATGGCCACGCCCGTCCCGAACTCCGTGTGGAAAACCTGCGCCTCCAGCACGTGGTTCTGCAGCACCTCCTGCGCCCAGACACGGCAGGGTGGGACACTGGGCACACTGGGGACACGGTGGGGGATCAATGGGATCTGAGGTGCCCTCCCCCCAGCCCACCCCGTGCCCCAGCCCCTCACGTTTCCCATGCTGAAGTGCCGTTTGAACTCGCAGAACAGGTTGTAGACCAGCACAGTCCCGTCCTCCTGGATGCACAGCAGGTCCTCCCCCGCCGTCCAGCCCAGGTGCACCAGGCGGCCGCTCTTCCACTGGGGAAGGGTGGGAATGGGGTGGGGATGAGGTGGGAATGGTCACCCTGGGCTGCTCCAGACAGCCCAGAGCCAGGGCAGCCCTCCAGGGACACACGAGAGGCCATGGCTGAGGCTGAGCTCTGACTCCTTCTCCAGAGGTTGGAAACCCCACCTGGAGGTCCAACATCTCCAAAGGTCTGGCACCTCACCTGCCCTGGCACCTTTCTCTGCCCCTCCACTGCCCCGTGCCCACCCCAGCCCTGGGCAGAGGGGAGGGAGGATGTTCCTGCTGCTCCAGCTCCCATCCCATCCCCTTCTCCCAGTCCCGGGCAGCAGGGAGAGGGGGATGTTCCTGCTGCTCTAATCCCGCTGTTCCAATCCCATCTCATCCTTTTCTCCCAGCCCAGGTCAGGGAGGAAGAGAAGATGCTCCTGCTGCTCCAGTTCTGCTCCAACCTCATCCCACCCTCTTCTCTCATCCCTGGGCAGTTCCTTCCCCCACTCCCCCTTGCACCCCGCCCCTCCCATCCCCGGTGCCCCCGAGGGGGTCTGTCCCTGCCCCCGCCAAAGGGGATCCCAGCCCCCCCAGCTCACCGGGACACTGGCCAGGAGCAGCCCCGAGGCCGAGTAGATCTCCAGGAGCGGGCGGGAGCTGGGGGCCTTGTCCCTCCGGGAATTCCTCAGCAGGGCTGGGGGAAGACAGTCTGTCAGCAAAGCCGGGGGGGCTCCGGGAGCCGGGGGGGGCTGCACCCACCTATGGGCCCCCCGTACGGGGCAGCGGCCACCACGCAGTCCCGCAGGTCCTCCCGCAGCCCCCATTCCATGGAGTACAGCTCCAGCTTCCTGCGGGACGGGACACACGGGCGGAGGGATGGATGGATGGACAGACGGAGGGATGGCGGGGCCAGGGACGGTGCCCACCCCCCTGCCCACCCCCTTAGCCGGCCCTGGGACCCCCCAGCAGGCCCCGGGAGCTCCCAGATCAGCCTCAAACCCGCGGACACCCGGGGATCCCCCAGGTGGACACAGGACCCCCCAGCGACCCCCGGACCTCACCCAGGGACCCCGCAGTCAGCCCCGGGACCCCCACGGACCATCCCGAGGGCCCCGGTCACCGTGGGCCCCCCAAAAAACCCCGAGACACCCCGAACGACCCTCCTGGCCCTGAGACCCCCCCTCCCAGCCACCCCAACACCCCTACCCTGGGACCCCCAACCACCCCCAGCACCCCCTCCCCAGATAGTCTCAACACCCATGGCCGTCCCGGGACCCTTCCGAGCAGCTCCGAGACCCTGCAGACACGTCGGAGATCGCCCTCCCATTCCCAGGACTCCCCCCAACATCCCCGGGACCCCCGAGACTCCCCGAGCATCCCCCCGGCTCAGCCCTCCCAGCTCCGGGACCCCCCCAGCCACCGCCGGGACCCCCGAGCATCCTTGGGACCCCTGTCCCAGCCCGCCCGAACACCCATGGCCACGCCGGGACCCGCTCCCACCCAGCCCCGGGACCCCGAGCGGCCCCGGTTCGGGCAGCGCTGCCCCCGCCGCCTCTCACCGGTAAAAGGCCTCCTCGCCCAGCGGGTACCAGTTGGCCGTGTAACAATCCATGGTGCCGGGGCGGGGGAAGGGGATCGGGGGAATGGGGATGGGGATCGGGACTGGGATCGGGATGGGGATCGGGGGATCCCGGCTCTTCCCTCCCAAGCCACGCCCCGCACGTGACGCCGGGCCGGCCGCCGCCATCTTGGGTGAGGGCCCTGAGAAGAGTAGAGACGGGGAGCGCCGCCATCTTGAGTGAGGGCACGGGGAGCTGAGGAAAGGGGAACCGCCGCCATTTTGAGTGAGGGCACGGGGAGCGGGAGAAGGGGAACCGCCGCCATTTTGAGTGAGGGCACGGGGAGCGGGAGAAGGGGAACCGCCGCCATCTTGAGTGAGGGCACCGGGAGCGGGGGAAAGGGGAACCGCCGCCATCTTGAGTGAGGGCACGGGCACCCACACCCGTTTGGGCCCGGGGTGATCGGGCCCCCTGACGTGTCTGTTCCGTGTCCCCCGGAGTGCCCCCACCTGTCCCTCGACATGTCCTGAATCCCCCAAGATGTCCCCTGACCCCTAAAATGTCCCCTGCAATCCAAGATTACCCCTGTCCCCCAGGGTGTCCCTTGTCCCCCAAAGTGTCCCCTGTTCCCCAGGGTGTCCCTTATCCTGTGGGGGATCCCCCATTCCCCAAGATGTCTCTTGCCACACATGCTGTTCCCACAGGTCTCTCTTTATTTCCTGCTACTGGAAATCCAGGAAAGGCCCTGGTGGCGTGTCTGGGCACTGCCAACGCCCCCCAGCCACCCCACATGTGTGCCAGGGCAGGGAGCCAGGGCAGTGCCCCGTGTGCCAGGGACGGGGGCTGGAGTGCCAAGGTCGGATGCCAGAGGGGATGCCAGAGCTATGCCAAGGGTGCCAGGGCTGGGGTGCTGTGGCAGTGTCTCCTGTGCCAGGGCCGGTGTTTGGGCGCCTGGTGGTGCCTCCTGTGCCGGGGTCAGGTGCCATGGCAGTGCTGTGAGTCCCATGCTGGGGTGCCATGACAGTGCCTCATGTCCCGGGGTCACAGTGACGGCACGGCCGGTGCTGCTGTGCTGGAGCTGCAGTTCGGGTGCCACAGTGGTGCCACAGGGGCCAGGGTTGGGGTGCCATGGCAGGGCCTCATCTCCTGGGGGCACAGTGCCATGTTGGTGCTGCTGTGCTGGGGCTGGGGTGCCATGGCAGTGCCTTGTGTCCTGAGTTTGGGGTGCTGTGGTGGTGCCACAGTGGAGCCTCATGTCCCGGAGTTGGGGTGCCGTGGCAGTGCCTCGTGTGCCAGATTTGAGGTGCTATGGAAGTGCCTCGTGTGCCAAGTTTGGGGTGCTCTGGTAGTGCCGTGGTGGAGCCCCACGTCCTGGGCTCGGGTGCCATGGCTGTGCCTCACGTGCTGGGGCTGGAGTTTGGGTGCCAGGGCAGTGCCACACGTCCCAGGATCATGGGGCCATGTGGGTGCCTCGTGTGCCAGATTTGGGGCTGGGCTGCCGTGGCAGTGCCACACGTCCCAGGATCATGGGGCCATGTGGGTGCCTCGTGTGCCAGATTTGGGGCTGAGCTGCCGTGGCAGTGCCACACGTGCCAGGGTCATGGTGCCGTTTTGGTGCTGCTGTGCCAGGGCAGTGCCTGGTGGGCTGGGTTTGGGTGCCAGGGCAGTGCCACACGTCCCAGGACTCCCGCGCCGCGGCAGTGCCCCCTGTGCCCCACCGGAGCTACTTGGCCTTGTCGCCGTCGCGGGCGCCCAGGTCGCAGCGGTAGTGGAAGAGCTGGAAGTGCAGGATGGTGCCCAGCAGGTTGGGGCTGGAGGTGCCCACCCTGCGGAAGCCCTGCCCCTCGTAGAGCCGCTGCGCCGCCACCTGCACCATGGAGGTGGAGAGCACCACGGCGCCGAAGCCGCGGGCGCGGGCGAAGGCCAGCACCTCCCGGCACAGCGCCCGCGCCAGGCCCCGGCCGCGCTGCTCCCGGCTCACCGACATCCGCCGCAGCTCCAGCGCCCCGGGCGTGTCCCGCGACGGCACCGCGGCCACCATACCCACCACGGAGCCGCCCGCCTCGGCCACCCAGAAGCCGCAGCGGGGCGGCCGCAGGTACGTGCCGGGGATGTCGCACAGGTCAGTGCCCAGCGCGTCGCGCACGTATTCGGCGCTGAGGGAGCGCACGAGCAGCCAGAGCAGCACCAGCGCCAGCCCCACCGTGCCCAGCCCCAGCACCCAGGAGCCGCCGCCCGCCCGCGCCCCCACGAACAGCACCAGCAGCGCCAGCCGCGCCCGCGCCGAGCGCAGCACGTGGCGGAACCCGGCCGGGGCGTGCTCCAGGATCCCCCGCGCAAACAGCGCCCGCACCGCCTCCGAGTCCTGCTCCCGGAACGGCCGGATCCGGAACGACGCCATGGGCACCTGCGGGGGCACGGCAGCGTCAGCAGGGCACGGGGATGGCACAGCGATGGCACAGCGATGGGACAGCAATGGGGGCACCTGTGGGGTCAGGGATGGGACAGGGATGGGACAGCAATGGGGGCACCTGTGGGGTCAGGGATGGGACAGGGATGGTACAGCGATGGGACAGGGATGGAGGCACCTGTGGGGTCAGGGATGGGACAGGGATGGGACAGCGATGGAGGCACCTGTGGGGTCAGGGATGGAACAGGGATGGTACAGCAATGGGGGCACCTGTGGGGTCGGGACAGGGATGGGGTAACAGAGATCCCAGGGTCAGGATGGCACAGGGGGGGTCAGGACAGTACCCAGCTCCACAGGGACCCTCAGGGTACCCCCAGGTCCCAGCACGAGGGTGGAGCAGGGAGTGGGTCAGTGCCCACCTCCCAGGGCAGTGCCCATCTCCACAGGGACCCCCAGGGTACCTGCAGACTCATTTGTGGGACGGCACAGGGGAGCAGGGCAGTGCCATGGGGATGGGGACCCATCCCTGAGGTGGCACGGGGGGGTCAGGGCTGTGCCGGTGCCGCTCCCACCCAGGGGTCCCCTGTGACGTGGGGGGGTCCCCTGTGACCCTTGATGGATCCCAAGGGATTCATCCCCTGCTCCCGGCTGGGGAGGGTATTTAGCTGGACACCCGTGGGGGATACATGGGCTGGGGGGGACAGACGGGAAGGACAGAAGGAGCCGGGGCCGTGTCCCTCCCACCCCGAGACCCCAACACTCACTGGGAGCCCCCGAGCGGCACAGCCAGCCCAGGACAAAGGCGAGGAGTGCTGGACACTGTCCTTTGCCCGCCGTGCCCAGGGCAAAGGGACACGGGGGGGGAGAGGGGTGACACAGGGACAACAAGGGGACACGGAGGGGGATCCGAGGGGTCAGGGGGACAGATCGGCTCCGGGGCTGCTCAGGGTGGGGGGGCTCAGTTCCCCACACGGGGAAGAGGAACAGCCCCACCCTGCGCCGGGGAAGGGATTGGGGGTACCCAAACTACCCCACACCCCCGGGGGTCCGGGTCACACCCCCTTTACCCCCCGTTCCACCCGCTCCCCGGGATCCCGGCACCCCCCGCCCCCCCCACCTGCTGCTCCCGGCGCGGTCGCTCCTCAAAGCCGGGTCGCGGCTCTGCAGCTCCTCGGGGTGAACCGCGGGGTCCTCGCAGGGCCGGGGGGTCCGGTCACCTCCCCAGCACGGCCCGGGGGGTCTCTGGGGGGGTCTGTGTGTCCCGCAGCCCCCGCACTGGCCTGTGCCGGCCGCTGCCGCCGAGGAAGTGGCCGGGTCCGCTCAGCCCATCGCCCTGCAGCGCCCGGGGGAGGCTCCGGCGGCTTGGGGGGCGGGTCTCTCTCAGGTTTGGGGGGTCTCTGGTGGCAGCACGGGGGGTTTCCCCAGTTCAGCCCGTTCCCAGGCCCACGGAGGCTCCGGCGGCGCGGGGAGCGCAGGCGCGGGTGGGAAGTGCCGGCGCTGCCGTGGGGGGGATGATGCCATAAACCGATCCCGGGAAGGTGATGGGGTCACGGGGGAGGGATTGGTGGGGAGCGGCATCTGGGCAGCGCATGGGGGTCCCGGGCAGTGGTGGGGGACAGACAGAACCACTGCCCGGGCCACCCACCTCCGCCCAGTCCAGGGGATGGGGCAGCCCTGGGTCCGTACGGCGATGGAACGGACCGGGATGGGGGTCCAGCCACTCACCACGGGGTGTCCCCATGCAGGCAACTCCCACCCTCTGTCCGGGGTCTCCCGCTGGCACAGGGGGCTGGGGGGTCATCACAGCGACGCCTCGGGGGTCTGGGGTGAAATCCCCCCCCGCCCCGCGTTGGAGCCTTCCCAGGGGGATCATGAGGGGCCGTGCGGTGCTGGGGACCCCCATCGTGCGGGGAACTCCCCCCTCCCAAGAACAACTCAGCCCAGCGTGGGGAACAGTCCTTTATTTCGGGCACTGCCCGACCCGCGGGCACCGGGGCGTGGGGGCAGACGGGACACGCGGGTGGAGGTCCTGGGGGTCCCTTGGGCAGCCACGAGACCCCCAGGGGACATAGTGGCACCAGGGCCAAGCCGGACATAGCCCCCCCGCCCCGGGGAGCTGAACCCCTACCCTGGCAGGGCTCCCGGGGGGCTGAGGGGGCGCCACCCCAGCCTCTCCTTCGCACCCCGCAGACCCCCCAGTGTGGGGCACGATGGCCCGGACCCCCCGTGCCACCCCCGTGTCCGTGAGCCACCCACAGCCCGGGGGCTCGGGGGGTGCCGGTGCCCAATTCCTGTGCCGCCCCGTGTTCCCCTGAGGGCACGGTCACGGCAACGCCCTGACCCCCACTCCGTGGACACCCCACGGGCCCGGCAGCCCCTGCACCCTCTCCCAGTGCCCCATAGTCCCACCAGCCCCCAGTGTCCCCATGGCCCGGACAGCCCTATTGTGCCCATGAGCCCCCTGGTGTCCCCAGGCCCCAGCGCTCCCCACGCTGGAGAACCCGCACTGTCCCCATGAGCCCCCCGGACCCTCCCGGGGACCCCCGGAAAGCCCCCGGTGCCGGTGCCCCAGCCCCGCCCACCCCGCCGCCCGCAGCCAATGGGGACCCAGCCAGGGGAAGGGGGCGGGGCCTCGTTGTTCATCGGTGGTGGGCGGGGCTTGAGCGAGGGCACCATTGATGGACACAGATGGGGCGTGGTCTCCACCAAGGGGGCGTGGCCTCCCGTAGTTCCCACGCCTGGTGCGAGGTCGGTCCAGCCCCGTTCCCGGTCCCGTTCCCGGTCCCGTTGCCATTGCCGGTCCCCCCCAGCCCCGCAGAGGCGCAGCGGCAGCGCAGCCAACTTTACTGGGAGCCGTCCTGTCCCGCCGGGCGCTCCCACCCCGGCCCCGACCCCCGCGCCCCCCGGGCCGAACCCGCGGCCCCGGGTCACGGTGACGCTCCCGGTGACGGTCCGGCCAGTGGCCGCGGCCGTGGGCGCGCAGGCGGCGCAGGCGCTGCCGCCGCAGCCGCAGGGTTGGGTCGGGAGCCGGGCGGGACCCCCGGGACCGCCCCCGGGCCCGCTCCAGGCGGAAGCTGCAGGGGGTCGGAACGTTCTCGAAGGACACCCGGCACGGCCGCGTGGCCGCCTCGTAGCCCTCGGCCCGCGCCGTCACCTCGTACTCGCCCGGGTTCAGCAGCCGCCAATAATCCCCGTCCGAGGCTGAGGGGAGGGGGGCAGGTGCCCCCCGGGGGGTCACACACCCGTGCCCATCCCTGTGCCCATCCCTGTCCTTATCCATTATCTGTCCCCATCTCTGCCCCATTCCAGTGCTCATCCCCAACCCCATTCCATTCCCATCCCTGATCCCATTCTTGTCCCATCCCTATTTCCAACCTCTTCCCATTTCATCTCTCTTCCCATCCCCAGTCCCACTGCTGTCTCCATCCCATCCCCATTCCCAGTCTAATCCTATTTCCACTGCCATCTGCAATCCCCAGTCCCATCTCCAAATCCCATCCCCTTCCTAACCCTGTCCCCAGCCCGATCCCATTCATATCCACAATCCCATTCCAGTCCCCATCCCATCCCCATTCCCAGCCTAATCCTATTTCCATTCCCATCCACAATCCCATCCAGTTCCCAACCTGTTCTTTGCCTTTATCCTCAGCCCCAGCCCCATCCCATTCACACCCCCAATTCCATTCCTGTCCCCTTCCCATCCCCTTCCCCAGTCTAACCCTATTTCCATCCCCATCTGCAATCCCCAATCCCATCCCATCCTCAAATCCCATCTCTGTTCTTCTCCCTGTCCCCATCCCTGTTCCTTATCCTCATGCCCACCCTGTTCACATCTCCAGTCCTATTCCTGTGCCCAACCCCGTTCCCAACTTCATCCATTCCCATCCCAATGCCCTTGCTGTCCCTGTCCCATTGCCCGTACCGGTGCGGACGTCGTGGTTGATGCCATCCACGGAGATGATGGCGTTGGGGATGCCCTGCTCGGTGTCACTGTCCCGGACCACCCCCTTGATCCCTCGGTGCACCTGGGGCGGGTCCCGAGGGGTGTCAGGGGGTGCAGGTGGCACATGTTGCACCCCCCGTGCCACCCCCGTGCTGGGGACCCCCGAGCATGTCCCGCTGCCATTCTGCCAAAACCCCGACCCCTCGGTGCCCACGTCCCCCCCGGGACCCCCTGGCGTGTGCCCCCTGGGCTCAGGGAACCCCCCCAGGGGGTTTGCTGTCCCGGATGGGTCCATGACCCAGTGGTCCCATAGGCCCTGTGCCTCCAGAACCCACACCCTGGACCCCCCTCCCCTACTGTCCCCATGGTCCCAGCACCCCCGACCCCCACCCAGGACACCCCTTTCCCAGTGCCCCCCCGGCCCCCACCCCGACCTGCTCCATGAAGAGCAGCAGCGACTCGCGGTTGTTCTCCCACTCCTGGGGCAGCTCCGAGGCGTGCGGGAATTTGTCGCAGGAGAGCTCCACGGTGATCTCGAAGCAGTTGGTGTGCAGGTAGCTGAAGTCGTTCATACCTGGGCCGGACGGGGCGGGTGTCGGGGGGTGTCCAGCCCGCCCCCCGCGCCCCCCGAGTCCCCCACTCACTGCCGGCCACCGTGTGCCAGTTGGCCCCGTTGATGACGTTGCCGAGGCGGGCGAAGTCGTCGTAGTGGCAGCGCCGGCGGTCCCCGCTGGCCATGGCCAGGTTGGCGGTGGCGTAGACCGTGGCCAGCCAGCGGAACACGCCGTCGTCGGGGGTGGGGGTGAGCTCCTGCGCCTTCCAGTAGGTGCGGGTCATGTCGAAGGGGTAGGTGACCACCAGCTCCCCCCCGTGCAGGTTGGCGCTCAGCACGAACGGGAACCGCTGCATCCACGCGATCACCGCCCGCGTCTCGGGGGCCACCTGCGGGGGCTCCACGTCACGGGGGGGGCCAGGGGAAACGCTCCCGTGGACCCCCTGTCCCCGACACAGGGCTGAGACCCCCCGGGTCTGTCCCCAGCGCAGCCCTCCGGGGGGCGCAGCTCCCGGGGCGCTGGGGTGGGAGGATGTGGTGGGGAAGGGGTTTGGGGGGCTCACTGTGGTGCTGGCATGGGGGGTCAGAAGGTTTGGGGGGCTTACCCTGGCACTGGAGTGGAAGGAAGGGAAGTTTTGGGGGCTATCGGGGGGGCTCACCACGGCATCAGCATGGGACGGTGGGGGCTCGAGGGGGCTCACCGTGGCGTTGGCCTGGGTGTAGTACTCGGGGATGGGGATGTAGTGGTTGGGGAACTCGTGGGGCACCAGGTCGTTGTCCTCGGCGTCCCACAGCGCCGTGTTCAGGTCGGCGAAGTTGTGGTTGAGGTCGATGCCCTCGTAGGTCCAGCGGCCCATGGCCCAGCCCGCCAGCTCCGAGCCCTGGGGGGGCACCGGGGGCGCTGGGATGGGTCCCGGGGCAGCCCCCGGGGGTCCCGGCCCCCGTCCCTACCAGCTCGTAGGCGGTCTCGTATCCGTCGGGGTTCATGGAGGGCAGCAGGTGGATCCGGGTGTCCGTGACCAGCTGCACCACGCGGGGGTTGCCCCTCCGGAATTCCCGGCACAGGTATTCCATGAGGTTGAGCAGCAGCTCCCGGCCCAGCACCTCGTTCCCGTGCATCCCGGCCACGTAGCGGAACTCCGGCTCCCCTGCCGGGCACGGGGACGTGGCTGTGGGGGCACGGCCACCCCCGCCCTGGGGGCTGTGCCCATCTCCCTGCACCAGCCTGGGTGTTCCCAGTGACCCCATCCCCATCCTGGGCATTCCCAGCCACCCCATCCCCATCCTGCACCAGCCTGGGTGTCCCCATCTCCCTGCTCGAGGTGTCCCCGTCCCCCCGTGCCCACCGAGCTCGTGCTGCCCGGGGTGGTCCGAGATCTCCATGACGTAGAGGCGGCGGCCGCGGGAGCTGTGCCCGATGCTGTACACGCGGGTGATGTCGGGGCACTCCTCGCTCACCCGCTTCATCAGCTGGGGGGCAACGGCGTCAGGGGCACTGCGGGGGGGGAACAACACGGACCCCCTGCCCCACGCCGGGGACACGGAGATCCCCCCACCCAAACCCCACGCCCCCAGGACTGGCACCTTTCTCATCTCCTTGTAGTTGTGGTGGCGGAAATCCAGGTCGGAGGCGGGCGGGGCCTGGCTGTGCCAGGCGTAGGCATCGCTGGGGTCTGGGGGAGCCGGGTGGGCGCACAGGGGACACGGGGGACACGGTCAGAGACCCTGGGGACAGCCCAGCCCCCGCCCCTGGGGACGGCCCCGGCGGTGTGTGCCCGTGCTGGGCACCGGTGGGGCGGGGTGTGGGGACCCACAGGGCACCCCCGGGGCACCCACCGGGCAGGGGGCAGCCCAGCACCTCCGCCCGCAGGCAGATGGTGCCGTTGGGGAACCAGCTCTGCGGGTTGATGCGCAGGAACCGCCCCACCAGGGGCGTGGGCAGCAGGTTCAGCACCGGCGTCTCGGGGTCCTTGTTCGCGGGGAACACCTGGGGGGCACAGGGATGTGCCAGGGGGTCGGGGGTGGCAGAGAGCGGCCCCTCGGGGCCAAGGGGTGACAGGAGCCCTGCCAGCCCCTGAGGAGGGGCACACACACCTGAGGAGGGTGAGCCCAACGGGGCTGCAGGGGCTGGGGTGCTTGTGCTGCTCTGGCCCCCAGAACCTGCCACCCCACAGGGGGAGAGACCCCAGGGATGGGCACAGGGCCCCCCAAACCTGACTCTGACACGGCTCTGGCACAGGGACCCCCAAACCCTTCCTGGTACAGGGACCCCAAAGCCACTCCAGCTCCAGACTGCTGCGATGGGCCCTGGGCACGGCTGTGCCACTCAGTGCCACGCACGCACATGTGTGTGCCCAGAGGGGTTGGTATGTGCCCAGGGGGGTCCTGGCCCCCAGCCAGGGCGGCCCCAGGGACAAGCAGCCTTTGTGCTGGGGGGAAGTGCTGGAGGATGCCTGGGGTAGGGAGGCCAAGGGCAACAGAGCCCAGGAGCCTGGTGCCAGCTGGCACGGCTACCCCGGGGTGGTTCACCCAGCCAGGGAGGTTCACCCCAGGATGGTTTCCCCACCTGGCGCTGTTAATTCACCTGGTGCGGTTAACCCAGCATGGTTAACCCCTCTACAGCATGGTTAACCCAGCATGGTTAACCCCCTTTCCAGTATGGTTAACCCAGCATGGTTAACCCCTCTACAGCATGGTTAACCCAGCATGGTTAACCCCTCTACAGTATGGTTAACCCGGCACGGTTAACCCCTCTCCACCATGGTTAACCCAGCATGGTTAACCCCCTTTCCAGTATGGTTAACCCAGCATGGTTAACCCTCTACAGCATGGTTAACCCAGCATGGTTAACCCAGTGAGGTTAACCCCCTCTCTAGCACAGTTAAACCAGCATAATTAACCCAGCATGGTTAACCCTCCTACCATGGTTAACCCAGCATGGTTAACCCCCCAACACAGTTAACCCTGGCATGTTCAACCCACCCAGCGTGCCTCAAGTCGCCTGGCACAGTTAACCCCGGCATAGTTACCCCCCTCCAGCACAGTCACTCCCCTTGTGCCCTCGCTCTGCTCAGGCCCCCCCCGACCCCAGCGTGTGGGGGGCCCTGTAAGGCATCCCCCACTCACCCCCCCCTTCCCCTTTGAGCACCCACCGCCTCCTCAGAGCCGTTCCTGCTCGGCACCCACGCGTGGGAGTCGTTGCTGACCTGCACCTTGTAGGACGTCACCCAGTCGTACCTGGGGGACACGGGCAAGGGGGGGAGGAGGAGGAGGGAGGGCAGTCCCGGCGCCCTCCCCTTGCCCCGCCCCACCCTTCCAAACCCCCCTTTTCCCCTTACGTCCAGATGGAGTTGAGGCCCTGGGTGACGACGCCGGTGAAGCGGGTGAGGCGCCGGGCGTCCACCCGCAGCCACTGCGCCGCGTCCTCCCGCCCCGCGCACCACCCGCCGTCGAAGGGGTCCCCGTCGTACAGCCCCGACTGCGATCAGGGGGGAGAATGTGGGGTGGGGGGCACACAGACCCACGCCGGGTGGCTCGCAGCAGGCGAACACCCCACCACACGCCGCACGCCTCCGCCGCCTCCGGGGGCGGGGGCGCGTGGGTACGGTGGGGTGGGGTGTACCTGGATGTTGAGCCGGCCCCGGTGGGCGCCCAGCCCGGGCCGCTTGTGACTGGACGCGTGGAGCTGCGTGTCCTCCACCCGCAGCGATTCCAGCCCCAGTGGGGGGCACGCTGGGAGGGGAGGGGGGGTCACACAGGGATAACCCCCGTCCTGCACGGCCGGGACCCCACAAACGGGGGGTGGAGTCCCTGACGTGCCTCCCCCTCCCCTTTCCTCCCCCCACCCTCCCCCGGGCACATACGGGGCTCCTGTGGGGCGGCCGGAGCCTTCGGCCTCTTCTTCCTCACCACCTTCTTCCTCACCACCACTTTCTTCCTCACCACCACCTTCTTCCTCGTCACCACCTTTGGGGCCGGGGCTGGAGGAGGAGGAGGAGGAGGAGGGGGTGAGGTGTGTGCAGAGGGAACCCAGGGCAGGGGGGGGCTTGGGCACAACACGTGTAGCCCACCCCGACCACCCCTATATAGGGCAGGGGCACCCCCAGAGCCTGGCACGGCATTGTCCCCCCTCCTCAAGTGACACTCCCTCAGCACCCCATCATCCCCACCACCCCCTCCTCAAGTGACACCCTGCCCTTCCCCTTCCCCAAGTGCACACAGCCCTGCACACACACACACACTGCCCCCCCGCACACACATCCTTGTGCACACTCGTGAACACCCCCTCCCGTGCATCCACAGCCCTGTGCACACCCCCCGCACACCCGTGTGCTCACCCCCCGCCCCAGCTCAGCCTCAGCCCCCCACCTCCTACCTGTGGCCGCGGGGTCCCCCTCCCGCAGCCCCCCGCGCCGGAGGGCCGGGGCTGGGGGCGTCCCGCTGCCCCGCGGGGGGGTTACCGGAGTGCCTGTCGGGGGACACCCGCTGCCCTTGGGGGCCTGTCGTGGTGCCTCTTGGAGGACACTCCGCTGCTTTTAGGGGGTCCCGACGTGATGGCCCTCGGGGGGGCGGCCGTGGTGCCCCCCTGGGGGGACATCCCGCCTCCTTTGGGGGATCCCGTCCCGGAGCCTCTTGAGGGGGCGGCCGCGTGCTCCTTGGGGGACCCCGCCGCCTCTGGGGGTCCTGCCGCCGTGCCCACCCCGTGGGCTGGGCGGGGGGTCGGCAGCCCGCGGGGGCGGGGGTGGTGCGGGCGGGGCGCTGCCCGGGCGGGGGGCGGCGGGGCTCAGCAGGAGCAGCAGCAGCAGCGGGGCGAGGGCACCCCGGCATGGCCGCGGCCCTGCCTGTCCCTGCCCGCTCCTGCCTGTCCGCTCCTGCCCATCCCGGCCCTTCCCGCCCCTCCCCGCCTCCCGCGCCCCCGCCCACTCCCGCCTGGCCGGGACCCCCTCCCGCATCCTGCCCGCCCCTCTCTTCCCGCCCCCTGCCCGGGACCCCCGTCCGTTCCGTGTCCATCCCCTGCCCCCACCCCACCCGCTCCTGTCCGGGACCCCCGCCCCGCCCCGTTGAACTGTCCCGCTCCCCCCGTGTGACCTCGAACGGGGGACACGGTGTCCCCCCTGCCCACCTGCGGGCCTTGGCCCGTGTCCCCCCGTCCCCAGCACGCACAGTGTCCCCACTGGCCCCATCCCCGTGTCCCTGACGATCCCAGTACCCCCCACAGTGTCCCCCTGTCCCAGCCCTGTATCCCCACCGTCCCATCACCATGTCCTCACTGTCCCCACCCCCGGCGTGTCCCCACTGTCCCGTTCCCATGTCCCCATGCCCCCTCCCCACGCCGGGGGTGCCCGGGGGTCCCGGGGGTCCCCTCCTCGCCGCCGCCGTGGCCCCGCCGGCCGAGCCCGGGGACCCGACCGGTCCCGGAGCCGCCGGTGCGGGCAGAGGGGCCGGACCCGGAGGGGAGGGGTGGCCCGGGACCCCCGTAATGCCCCGGCTGGGAGCGGGGGGTGCGGGCCGGGGTGCCGGGTCCTGCCTCTCCCCCCACCCCCCTGCGCGGGGTCCCCCGAGCTGCCGCCAGACTCAGAGGAGCTCATTTTCCGCCCTAAAGAAACTTTCCTGGCTCGCCTTTTCCTTCTTTTATTGGGATTTTGTGGAGCAGAGGAGGGGGCAGGGAGGGAGCCACGGACACCCTGCGGGGGCAGCTCCGCGGTCACCGGGGATCCTGCAGCCCTGTGTCACCCGGGGGTGCTCCCACGGGACGGGTCCTTTGGTCCCACAACATCCCGGGGAGCTCCTTAGGGATGGGGTCCTTCGGATCTGCATCCCCCGGGGATGCCCCTCTGGGATGGGTCCCCCTAATGACCCAGAGATGCTCCTTGCCCATCCCAGGCCGGGAGCAGGGGCGGGGCTGGCACACAGGACGGAGCCATTCCCTGTCCGTGTCCCAGGGCTGGATGCTGGGAAGGGTTTTGTTCTGGCCTGAGGCATCTCCCGCATCCTGCCGAGGCCCTGGAAAGGGCCCAGGAGGGGCGGCCGTGACTCAGCCCCCACGTGACGGCACTTTCGAGGTTTGCACAAGTCCCGGCCCATCTCCGCCCGCTCCTGGCCCCATTCCCGGCTCCCGGGGCCAAGGCACACAGCCCGGCGCTGCGATTGTGCCTGCTCAGCACTTCCCGGGATGTCAGGAATTTCCTGGTGCCGTTGGCTGGGGCTCAGCGCTCCGTCCCGGCCCCCAGCGCTGCCAGAGCCCAGCGCAGAGATGCCTTAAAGGCGCCGCGGTGTGTCCTGGCAGGAATCGCACTGCCCTGGCCCCCCCAGCACCCCACAGCCACGGGGGGGTCGCCAGTGGGGCCGAACCCACCACCCACCCGTGCTGGTGCTGCTGGGACAGGCCCTGGCAGGGCAGGAGCACTGAACTCCCAGGTCCTTCCCAAAGGGATGCTCCCAATGCCAGCCCGTGCTCGTGCCTGGCATTGCCCTGACCCAGGTGCAGCCCCCGTACCTGGCCCGGCTGAACCTCCTGAGCTTCTCGTGGTGCCACCTGTCAGACGTGTCCAGGTCCCCCTGGGGGTCCCGTCCCGCTGTGGTGTCACCTGCCCCGCTCACTCCCTGTCACCTGCACATGGCGGGGACAAATCCCCCTGCAGAGGTGGGGAACAAATCCCTCTGCACGCCCAGACTCACCTGAGCCTGGGCACACCGGGGGCTGCAGGTCCAGGGGTGCCCCAGGCTGGTTCCAGAAGGTTCCAGGTGGTTCCATGGCTGTTGGGGTGCTGGGATGTCCCTTTGTGACTTGGGGGCCACTGTGACCCTGGGGGGTTTGGGGTGCAGAGCCCTGGGGTGCCACTCCCAGGACAGCCCCTCCCTGCGGAGGCAGCAGCTCCCGGGATGCCTCTGCGGCACAGGAGGATGGAGATGCCCATGGGGAAGGCAAAGCCCAGCTCCAGCCTGGCCCAGGGAATGCCGAGCCCCTGGTGCCAGGAGGGACAGGGGACAGTGGCCATGGAGGAGGAGGGGAGCCTGCAGGCCCCGGGAGCTGTGCCAGGGGGAACACGGCAGAGCCCCACAGCTATCCCAAGGGATGTGCCAGGGGGGGCACAGCAGAGCCCCACAGCTGTCCCAAGGGGTGTGCCAGGGGGGGCACAGCAGAGCCCCACAGCTGTCCCAAGGGATGTGCCAGGGGAAGGCCAACGGATACAAAGATCTGTCCCAGTGGTCAGCCCTAATCCACCGAGAGATGTCCCAAGTGGAAGAGTTCACGGAGCAGCAGCCCTGCCAGAGGAGAGCCAAGGGACACCAGGAACGGTGCCGAGGATACAGAGCACCGTCCCAGGGGGAAGGTTACACTGGCCAAGAGTTGTGCCAAGGGCAAGTCAACAGATCCCAAGGGCTGTGCCACGGGGAAGCCAAGGGATACAAAGATCTGTCCCAGTGGGAAGCCCTCATCAACCAAGAGATGTCCCACTGGGAAGACTACACGGACCAGGGGCTGGGCCAAGGGAAAGCCAGGACGTGCCAAAAGAGGGGCCAGCAGGGAGTTGGAGGAGACCCAGAGCTGTGCCAAGGGAGGGGCAGTGGATGCAGAAGTCTGTCCCAGTGGGAGGAATTAATCAACCAAGAGATGTCCCAAATGGAAGAATACATTGACCAACAGCTGTGCCAAAGGGAAGCCAAGAGACAGCAGGAACTGTGCCAAGGGCGAGTCAGTGGATACAAAGCACTGTCCCAATGGGAAGACTTAATCAGCCAGGAGATGTCCCAGATGGAAGACTTCATTGACCAAGAACTGTGCCAAGGACAAGCCAAGAGACACCAAGAGCCACCAAGAGCAGTGCCAAGGACAAGCCAAGAGACACCAAGAGCGGTGCCGGGGGGAGGTCAGTGGATCCAAAGATCTCTCCCAGTGGATAATCAACCCAGAGATGTCTCAGTGTGAAAGGCTGTACTGCCCAAGGGCTGTGCCAAGGACAAGCCAGCAGAACAGGGAACACATCTCCACTCTCCCCACCTGTGCCAGGGCTCAGCACCCTCCATTTCGGGCACATTGCCCACCTTGGCCTCCAGGGCCTTCCCCACCCCCTGCTCTCCAGCCCCTGGCACCACCCCCCCAGGATCCAGCTTAGGGAAGTTCAACTTTCCCAGGGAGTTAACCCAAACCTCCCCTTCCCCACCCACCCCACAGGGAGAAACACTGCCCGTGTGCTCCCCAGAAAGGCAGTGGGTGCCACACGCCCCAGCCACCAGGAAATAAATTATAGGAATCCAAGGAATTCCTGCTGTGGCTCCTTTGGCTTTTAGTGAGCTGGGGGAGGGGCTGGGAGCTCAGGAGGGGTCCCTGAGGTGGGAATGTCACCACAAAACACAGGGCTGGGGCAGGGTGAGACACATGGCTGGGGACAGGACAAGGGGAAAAGCCTGGAGTGCAGGGCAGGGAGTCTGGGAATCAGCAAATCATGGAATTGTTTGGGTTGGAAAAGTCCTCTGAGACCACTGAATCCAACCATCCCCCAGCACTGCCAGGGTCACCCCAGGCCATGACCCCATGTGCCACATCCACAGGGCTGTTAAATCCCCCCAGGGATGGGGACTCCCCCCTGCCCTGGGGGCACAGCCTTTTCCAGGAGGAAAAGGGCTCCCCATTCCCTCTCCTCCTGTCCCTGTTCCCTGGGAGCAAAGCCTGACCCCCCACCCAGCTCCCTCAACTCCTCAGGGAGTTGCAGAGCCAGAAGGTCTCCCCTGAGCCTCCTTTTCTCCAGGCTGAGCCCCCCCAGCTCCCTCAGCCCCTCCTTCTGCTCCAGCCCCTTCCCAGCTCTCCGCTGCAGTCGCTCCATTGATCCCCTGGATTCTCCAGCGTGACCCAGAGTTAGCAGACCCCCAGGAATGACCCCAAAGACAACCCTGGGGTAACTATACAGTGAGAACATTTATTTCCTGCGGACACTGGGACTGGTCTGTCCCACCTCGGGTGACTGGAGACACAAATCCAGCCCAGCAGCTCTGGGGTCTCCTCCCAGCTCCCATTTCCACACCACAGACGCTCCTTCGTGACCCCAAACGACCACTGGAACCCAAACACACAGAACTGAGCGGCCCCGAAGCATCGGGCACCGGAGGGTCCCTCTGTCCTCCATCACCTGGAGCTCGGCTCTTCCCCGTCGTTATCCTGCTGCTTGGCCATGAATTTCTGTGGGAACAAGGGGAGAGGACGCTGCAGGGATATCCCAGGATCATGTCCACAGACAGGGCAGGTGTCACAACAGCTGGGCTCAAGGTCAGCCGGCTCCTCCCTCTGCCAGGGTGGGATCTGCCCCAAAACAGCCCGGTCTGGCTCCCGAGGGGAATGTGGCCAAACCCCAGGGATCAGGACTTCCCACAATGACACCTGGGCATGGAACAGAAAACATTCCATACTCTCCCAGGCTGTGTGTTCCCAAACCCCCCAGGGGTGACCACGAGCTGCCAGGGAGCTCTGAGCCCCCCCGAGCCCCGGCTCTGGGGCCGTTCCCTGTCCCCAGGGGTACCTCCATGTTGTGCCGGTGCAGGGGGGTGCGGCAGTGGTTGATCATGGAGGGCTCGTCCGCGTAGAACAGGGAGCAGATCTGGCAGAAGAACCCGGCCTGGGGGACCAGCATGTCCAGAGCTGAGGGAGCAGCACACCACAGTCACCACACACAGCCCCACAAACGTCCCAACCCCACAGTCCCTCACCCAAACCCAGGAATTCGGTGCTCCTGGGCAGAAATCACAGCTTTTCAGCCTTCAAAAACCCCAGTTTGTCAATCGAGCTGGTCCCTGTGTCAATCCACACACCATTTCCATGGTCAATAACCACATCAGTTTCTGGGAATTTCTCTGGATCTGAAGGTCCCTGCAACCTCCTCGGCATCTTTTGGCCTGTGAAACGTTTTATCTCCACTCCAACGTGTGGCTCTGCAGTGTCCCACCAGCCCCATCCTTCCAGGCCATGTCCCCCAAGCCATCAGACCAGGAGCCAGATGTTCCCAGCAACTCCTTTTCCAGTTCCAGTGTTCTCAGTAGTTTTATGGAAAAGGAACACTCAGGAGGTATCCCACTGCCCTGTGCTAACACTCAATAAATTTGCCTATATTTGTACATTTTAGGAAAAAAGTCCTTTCCATGTTGAGCTTTCAATTGGGTAAACATGGATTTGGAGGAGCCAAGAAAAAAATCATGGATTCTGAGCCCTGTAGGAGTTTTCAAAGGGCAGAAAAGTCCTTCCTGCCAGGAAAGCCTGGAGAGTTTGGGGTGGTTCCTCTGGATTTACCTTTGGGAGTGCTCTGCACCTTGGGGACACCTGGAACAGCCGCTTTCTTCTGCCTGGACTCTGGTTCTGCACCTCCTGATCCCAGCTGAGCTGCTGGAGACAGAAATGCTCATTGGAATGGAATAGAATCATGGAATGGTTTGGGTTGGGAGGGACCCAAAGCCCATTGATCCCATCCCTGCCATGGGCTGGGACATTTCCCACCATCTCAGGTGGCTCCAAGCCCCGTCCAACCTGGCCCCGAGGTCCCTCACCTTTTGGCTTGGAGACTGCAGTGATTTCCTCTTCCGGATTTGGATCTCCCAAAATTCCCATTTCTTCTGGTCCTGCAACAGCAACAATGTCCTCCTCCTCTGGTCCTGCACTGGCCGCGATTTCCTCTTCTTCTGGTCCTGCGACAGCAATGATGTCCTCCTCCTCCTCCTCCTCCTCCTCGTGAGGATTCTTCCCTGAGGAAGCGCTCTCTTCCTCCTCCTCCTCGTCCCCGACTTCGTCGACTGTGACGAAGTTCAGTTCCTCCTTGAGGTGGTTGAAATCAGCCAGGAAATCGTCCTCCTCCTCGTTCACCTCGTCCAGAGTCACCAGGGGGTTGTCCTCGTTGTCCTCCTGGATCTCATCCACGGTCACCAGGGCGGTGGGGTCCTCGGGCACCTGCGAGGACGTGAAGTCCCCGGCGCCGCCCTTGCCCTCCTCGCCGTTCAGGTCCGTGGGCTCGTTCAGGGGCAGCTCCTCCACCTCCCCGATCTCATCCACCGTCACCAGGGGCTCGGCCTTCAGGTCCTGCTCCTTGAACTCGGGCTGGGAGAGGTCCCTGTGGGGGCCCAGCTCGTCCTGCTCCGAGATCTCGTCCAGGGTGAGCAGCGCCTGCGGGTCCTTCACCGCCTCCGACAGCTCCTCCTCCTCCAGCACCTCGTCCACCACCAGCAGCCCCTGGGGGTCTCCCAGCGGGGCGGGCGTGTCCTCCTCCTCCCCGATCTCATCCAGGGTGACAAAGGACGGCTCCCCCTTGGCCGCCCCGGAGCTCTTCCCTTTCCTCCTCTTGGACACGGGCTCCGACGGGCTGGCCTTGGCTCCGTCCTTCCTCTTGCCCCTGGGGGGGTTCCGCCGCGGTGCAACCGGAGACTCCACTTCTTCCACCACCTCGTCCACGGTGACAAACTCATCCAGGTTAAACGGGAACAGCTCTTCTTCCTGGCAAGTGTGGAAGTGAGAATACAAGGTTTAAATTCACCCGCAGCCTCGGGAGACACATCCACACCCTGCCTGCAGGGGGGAAAAAACAACTCAGTTTGAGGGCAGGAAAACCTGTCCAGGCCTCCAGTCCCACGTGGGAGGAGCCTTGTGCCAATTCATTTAATTTCACTCAGATTTAATCCAGGAAACCAAAGCACTTCGCAAAATCCCAGTGGATCAATGGACAGCATTCAACAGACAAAACCTCTGCCTATTGATGGATCTGGGTTCAAAGAGCTGCAGTCAAATGGTCACCCCAGCCCAAAGGATGCACCTGATTTCTTCAGCCAATTCTTCTTCATCCTGATTTCTGTTACTTTTTTTCCAAATATCCCATCCTACCCTCAGATTCCAGTGGGTACCTAACACAGGATGAGTGAAAAGCTGGACCTGAAGGCCAAGGCAAGATGGGCTTTGCTCTGTTAGAGAGCAACAAACACCAAGTCCAGTCCTCCAGCAGGAAAACAATCTAAAATTCAAAGCTTTTGTGCCTTTTCTTCCCTTTCCTTTTCAGAAACCCCCCACTTTTCCAATACCCTCTGTACCTTCACTCCCCCCGGGGTTCCATCCTTACCTCCTTCTGCTTCCCACTGCTGTCAGCGCCACTTTTCCTGCTCCCACCAGGGCCCTGCAAAATGAGAGCGAAATTCCCATGAACTGGGATCAGCCCCTGCCCTGCTCACAGGAGACAAACCCATCACCAAACACGGCTGTTTCTGGCCCCGAGGAGCTGGTCTGGGATGTCCCCACGGCTGCTCCTGCTCCAGGCTCGCCACAGCCGGCGCTCCAGGGACCGGCCACCGACCACGGGTGACACCTCAGGAGCCTCTTCTGGGTGACCAGTGCCTGTGCAGGGCTGGGCAAAGCAAATCCCAGCTCCCCAGAGGACACAGCTCAGCCCCCATCCGGAACTACTCCAAGGACTCGCAGTTATGACACAACCAACACTCACTTCCAGAACACCTCCGCAGGATTTTCCCACCAGTTCCACCCCTGTATTGCACACATGGCAGACAAAAGGAACTGGCTGCCCATCAGCTCGTATGGATTTATGGAAAAGGGAACACAGAGCCAGTGTCCCAGGCTGGGAAAAGCCTGGAGTCAGTGCCGGCAGGGGGGACCTTCCTGCCCTCTCACCTGAGCGCTGCTGGGGTCCTCCTTCGTGCCGGGTGTTCCACTCTCTCCCTCTTGGCTCTGTTTTGAACCAGCCCTAGATTCCACCTGGGAGTCCTTCTCCTGCTGGGATGAGCTCCTCCCACCGCCTCCCTGTCCATCCACTCCAGAGCTGCCGCTCCCTCTCCACTGGCCGCTCCCCGCTGCGGGCTGAGCTGCTTTGGAGGGGGTTTTCTTGTCCCCCCCTGCCTGGCCCCGGGGCTCGGCTCTGGGGGGGGGTTTCTGCTCCCCCCCTTTGCCCGGGGAGGGCTCGCTGCTCTTCGCTGGGGCCCTGGGCTTGAAGATATCCGGGATGGACACCACCGCCCTCAGGAGGGTTTTACCCACAGCAGGCTCCTTCAGCGATATGAAGGGGTTCAGGGGAGCCCCTGGGCGGGCTCTGCTGGCGTTTGCTGCTCCTGTCCCTTTGTTTTGGTGGGTCTTGACCAAGCTTCCCACGTTGCTCCCACCGACGGCACACGGCGCATCTTCCAGAGCAGCCCCAGCCTTGGCTGCTGGTTTTCCAAGCAGCTTCTCCGGCTCTGCCCCAGCCCTGTCCGAGAGCTTCCCGGGGTTCTCCTCCGCAGCGTGCCCAGGTTTGAGCGCACCCTCCTCTGCTCCAGCCACATCCAGTCTCTTCCCTGGGGCCTCCCTGGTTTTAGGGACAGGTTTCCTCTCGGCCACCGGAGCTCCTGACGTTTCAGGGTTGGTTTTCCCAGCCTCGGGAACGGGGCTCTTTCCAGGAGCACCCGCCTCGCTGGCTGGCTGGGTGACAGCAGGTGACACTGTGTCCGTGGGAGCCTCCTCAGCCCTGGGGGGCACTGCTCCAGGGGTGGCCCCCGCTGGCTCCCCGGCTGCTGGGACCACCCCACGACCTGCTGGATCCCCCTCAGCCCTGCTGGACGATCCCAGTGATTCCACAGCAGGGGCAGACGACTCTTCACCCCCCTCTTTGCCTTCCTTCTCCAGCACCTTTGGTTCAGGAGGAGCTTTAGGAGTCTCTTCCTTCCCTGCACTGGGAGGCAGCAGCGGCTTCTCCTCCGACCTCTCTCCAGGTGATTTGGTGCCAGAAGGTTTCACAGGAACACCCATCCCAGTATCCACGTCTGTCCGGGCCAGGCTTCCAGGGGATTCCCTCGCTGCTCCTCCCGGCTGGGGCTCGGGGGGCTCTGTCTGTCCCGCTGGAATCTCCTCCGTGCCACTGGAGGCGGGAATGGCTCCTCTCTTTGCCCCCCTGGGCTCTCCTGGCGGATCAGCAGCTGCTCTTGGCACCACTCCTGATCCCTCGGGAGATTTTTTCGAGCCAGCGCTAAATGCATTTAAAAGAAACAGAAGAAATCAAACCATGTTGAGAATTCTACAGTTACAGAAACCTCCCAGCGCAGCAGTGCCCAGCACTGGGATCGGGGCTGGTGCTGCCGAACGCTGAGGTGAGGAAGGTGATGGTGCTGAGGACTCACCTCAGCACCTCGTGCCCCCGCAGGGACCGCGGGCAGGCCTCCTTCCAGGAGTGCCCTGGGACCTGAGGGCTCACACGGCCCCCCAGATTTACATCCCGGAGCGGGAAAGTGAATGTACAATGAAAAGAGAGCTTCGGTGCCTCTGGATTAAGGAATTAGCAGCTTGGCTCTGTCTGCAGACGGGGCAGTCAGCAGCCCAGAGAGCTCTGCCAGGAGCAGCAGGTGTGGGTCTGGGCTCAGTTTTTGGGAAGGGAGGGGTTGCTCTGGGTTTAAACCTTGCACAAGAGGCACAGAGGCTCCTTTGGGCTCTGCTTTCCCTGGATAACCCACTGCCAGCTCTGGGATGACACAGCCCAAGGTGCCAACACAGAGGATGGAGCTTCTCAGAGGACTCCAGAGACACGATGGGCGTTATTGTTTTCTGGAGGAAAGAATTCCCCAAGAACCTTGGGAGACACTGGAGTTAGAGATGCCTGTGCCTGTTATCCCACAAAGCTCCAGCAAAGGAGCATCCAGCACCTCCCGCTTCAGTCAGACCCCTCCAGCAAGGGATGGAGCCGGACAGAACGGACTCAGCTCAGGGAAGTGGCCAAGGTGAGGGAGAAGGAGATGAAGAGACAAACATGGAGCAACAGGAAAATTCAGTAAGAAGAGGAAGATTCAGTAAGAGCAGGTAAATCCATTCATATGGTGCAAACACCAGCTCCAGGGGAGGGTATGGAGACAAAACACGTGGACAGAAGAGAAGGGATGGGAATTCTGCTCCCAGACCCTTCCCAGCACCAGTGTTAACACTGGCATATGGAAAAGCCCTGCCTGTCACCAGTGGCAGCAGGGCTGGGGACACTCCTGCCCTCAGTCCCTCCTCTGCTCTCCATGCCATGGGCTTGGTCCCCTCAGCCGGGACACAGAAGGGATCCTGACATCAATTAAACATTCCTGTTTGTGTCCACGTATTTTCCTCTTCTGTCTGAGCATCTTTCACTGGGACTTCCTGAAGTCTCCCCTGCCTGTGGAGCAGGACACGACCTAGGGCAGTCAGGGCCCAAAGTGCAGCTCAGGCCCAGGGTAAGATTTGAATTAAATAAAGCTCCAGCCCTGCCCTCACAGCTCTGCAGAGGCTTTTCCGGGAGGGAATGGAGAAGTGCCTGGGAACAAGGATGATACACCAAGCACAGGGCTCAGCACACCTGGATTATCACAGCTGAGTGAGGCATCACTCCCTGGGTCCTGAGGACTTTGTTTTGTGATGCCAACACCCACCCTGGGCCTTCCCAGGGCCCTGGGGGGCCCCAAAACCCACCCGTGGGCTCAGACCAGGCTGAGAGGCAGAGAGAGATGGGCAGGGGGAGAGGAGGGACCCCCAGGAAGCATCCTGGGATCACCTGCCAGGCACTGCCTGCACAGGGATGTAAGGGGTGAATCCAGCCCCTGTCCCAGCCGTGCCAGCACAGAGCCTGGGCCACATCCTGCTCCATACCCAGCAAATCAGCAGTCAAAGGAGCAGTGGGATGAGCCAGGATAACCAACCTGGATGAGACACCCCCAGCTGTTCTGGTTGAGGAAAACAAATCCCAGAAAAAGGCAGCCAGGAAAGCACATCAGTGCTCAGCCCAAGCGTGAGGAATTCCCAGCTCAGGTGAACTTCCAGAGGTTCTTCAGTCCCTTCTGCTCCCCGAATTTCAATAATCCCTCCCTCTCCAGAAACACAGGGAAGGTCTTCAGATCTATAATGGTATTTAAAGATGTTTTCTGCTTCTTAGGAAATGAACTAAAAAAACTGAGTCCCGAGGGCTCAGAAGGAGAAGAAAGGAGAACTGTGGAGTAGGATAATCGTAGGGAAAACAGCAGCTTTCCATGTGTTCAGCAGCCACAGCAGGGCTGGGATTCATGGAAGAGTCACCTGTTCACCAGGAATTAATGGCACTAGTGAAAGCCCCCCTGGCTGGAACCAAAAAGTTCCCTGTGTGGCTGCAAAGCTGTGAGGAAGAGATGGTTTGGGAACTAAATGCTCCCAAAATGGAGGAGTTTCAGGGAATAAGGAATGACAACTCGACTTCTGAAAGGAATGGGGTTCTGGAAATATAGAGCAGTATATATATAGAGAGAGTATAACGGCATGACTTGAAATTTAGGACCATTATTACAGAGTTTTGGGATTTTTTTAACAATAAAACTTTTCCAGAAATACGGATTTGAGTGACAGAAAGTGATTTAAGTCATATTTGTTAACAAAAACTTATAATGTTCTACCCATTTATAAAACAATTCATGATCAGAACTAAACTCAACAAACAGTTACTCCACAAACAGAAAGTTTACTACAAGCAGCATCCATAAAACAGCTTGAAATGGCACAAACCAACCCCATTTCTGGGTCCTGGTGTTCTAGAGCAGAGAAACATTTCTATAAATCACTTCAGGACCTGGATCACAGCGTGAGGTTCATGTTAATAAGTTGAACAAGGAAGTTTCGGTGCATTTTAAGAATTAGGAAACAGAAAGAACAGAGCCAGGGGCTGTGACAGAGGGAGGAGCTGCAGGATGAAATAAACCGTCAGGGGTTGAGTACACCCCAAATTCTCTTACCAGCACGTGGAGCCAGACACCCCTGCCAGGCCTGGGGGGAGAACCCTGGCCAGAGCAGTAAAACAGTGATAAAACAGGATTTCCTCCTGTTTCCCACGGGTTTTGAATGAAATCCCAAACACTCTGGCTCCACAGGGACACACGGAGCACACGGAGGGCGGAGCAGCAGGACATGGCTGGTGGAGCTCCCACCAGGATTTTCCATGGAGCGGGGCTGGAGAGAGGCTCAGCACGCCCCAAATCACGGATAGGACATCCCAAGGAAAGGGAGACACAACCCCCCAACACCTGCAGGCCATACCTTGCTCTGCTCCCCTCCTCTCCCTTGGGGTCTCTCTTCCCAGCTTCAGCCTGAAAGGCAAAACCCAGGGTCAGTACTGAGCACTTCCAGAGGCTCCAGCATTTCAGAGCCCACCACCCCAAACTCGGGCACCAGGGGGATCAAAGGACAGGAACTTGTTCTAAGGCCCAGAACAGGGATTTCCTGAGATGACACTGGAAGGGATCTCACCAGCACTTTGCAGACAAACACGTGGCACAGCTCTGAATGTTTGTCTCCCTTCAGAGCTGTCGTGGTTTGGAGCAGAACTGGCTTTGGGTCTGGGATAGACCTGGAGGAGAGGGATGTTCAACACTTCTCTTCCCAGAGAGCACCTTCTTTCCTGGACTGGTGAGGATGTGAATGGCTGCAGAGCTCAGGGGGAACATCTTCTTCTCCTTTTCTTCTTCTCCTCCTCCTTTCCTTTCTTCTCCTTCTCTTCCTTCTTCTTCCCTTTCTTCTTCTCTTTCTTCCCCTTCTTCTCCTCCTCCTCCTTATTCCCCTTCTCCTCCTTTATTATTACTGATATTATTAATATTATTAAGCAAACAGCCACACACCTTCTCTTACAAAAAATGACAGCCCAAGTGGAGCAAGTGCCTACAAGACACCCAGGCCAGTGGCTGTCCCTTAAATCCAGCCATTCCCTGCAGGATGACTGTGTGTTCCTAGAGAATAAACTCCTGGAATGGCTGTTAAATGAAATAATGTCTCTTGAAAAAGGCACCACTATCAAAAAAAACCCCTGTAAACCTCAGGGTTGAGATCTCCATCTCCTTTCCAAATTCATTGCAGACAATCAGGATTAGAAACAGCAGAACTCACTTTTCTTTATGGATGTGATTCCAAGGCCTTCAGTTTTCTGTAAAGGTTTATCCCAGAGAGAAGTGCCCAAAGTAACAGAATATGTTCTAAGGAACCAAAAACTATCTGTTTCTTCCTCCAGGATCTGACTGAAAGGCTTCCAGGGAAATAACCTTCATGTTCCTTTGGTCCCCAGGCACACAACCCAGCCTTTGGCAGGGGAATGGAGAAGATGGACAAGAAGGAACAGGCTCCAAATGCAGCCAAGAAAAACAGCTGGGAGAAAATCAGTTTTCCCTCTTCTCAGGCATTTTCATCTCCCCCTCAGTTACAGGGAGAAATAAACCCCTGAGTTGAACTCCAAAGCACAGGCTGACTTTGACATCTGGCCAAACGCTGTGACAGTGGCACTGCCAGCATGGAATGTGCTCCAGTGGCACATCCTCCTGCCTGCTCCAAGGCCTTCCCCCTGTTTTTGGCACTTCAGCACTACTAAATTCAGATATTATCAGCAAAATTCCAGGAATCCAACTCTGAAGGGATGGAGCAGCACTTCCATGGCTGCTCCCCCTCAAAATCAGCCCCAAGTGCCTCAAAATGTGCAGCTGGGAAGAAATGTTTGGAAAACAGCGTCGGAATGCCATTCTTTGTGGGCGCTGACTTTGGATGAAACATTCCCAGGGACAAAGGGATGTTCTTCTGTCACTCCAGATACAGGGAGCAGCTGGAAAAGCGGATTTGAATCACCCTGGTGGATGTTTCTCATCGTGAGGACTTCAAGGAAGGATCTTTTCCTTATTTTTCAGTGCTAAGGGAGCTTATTCCTTACAATTTTTAGACTTGAGAAAAAGCTTGTTAAGGACTTGGTTATTTTCTTCAGCTGAAAAGTTCAGGTAATGAAAGATGTGGAAGAAGGAGGGAGGGGAAAAGTGGCATTATCCTGAATTTAGGCTAATTAATTGCTCCTAATGAGGAAACTGCAGCACTTCCACCATGGATGAGGGGTCAGGACAGGATGGATGCCCTGGTTGTCATTTGGAACTGTCTACTGTGAATAAAAGTGAAAGGAAAAACCAGAGCCTCCAGCACATCCTGGAGTGGGAATGGGATCCCAAAGGCATGGCACTGAAAGAGAACAGTAACACTGGGGGAATGGGAGCTCCCAGAAAGGAATTCACATGGATAATCACTTACTGTCTCCTGAGGAGCCAGGCTGGGAGAGCTGGGGGGGTTCCCCTGGAGAAGAGAAGGATCCAGGGACACCTCAGAGCCCCTTGCAGGGCCTAAAGGGGCTCCAGGAGAGCTGGAGGGGGACTGGGGACAAGGCCTGGAGGGACAGCACACAGGGAATGGCTTCCCACTGCCAGAGGGCAGGGAGAGATGGGACATTGGGAAGGGATTCCTGGCTGTGAGGGTGGGGAGGCCCTGGCACAGGTTGGGCAGAGCAGCTGTGGCTGCCCCTGGATCCCTGGAAGTGCCCCAGGCCAGGCTGGAGCACCCTGGGCTGGTGGGAGGTGTCCCTGCCCATGGCAGGGGGTGGCACCGGGTGGGCTTTAAGGCCCCTTCCCCCCAACCCACCCCAGGGTTCCCTCGCAGGGTACAGAACCGACCCAGCTGCAGCTGCTGGACAGTCTGACCCAGAGCAGCACATCCCGAGGGGAGCAGTGGCAGTGGCAGCCCCAGCTCCCCGGGTGCAGGGCACTGCACCCCCAGGCCGAGCCGCAGGAGCAGGGGCGTTACCTGGGCGGGCTCCCCGCGGGGGGACAGGGAGCAGCTGAGGGTGTGCCCCCCCATGCTGTAGGGATACTGCTGCAGGAAGCTGTGCATGGAGCGGGCTGCCTTGGCACTGTCCAGCTGCAGGATGGCCTGGAGGGAACAAAGCACAGCCATCAGCTTTCTGTGCTCCTGGACACGCCTGGTAAATCACCTTCCCGGCTGGGACCTCCCCCCTCCTCGCCTTTCAGCCACAGCAGCTCCAGGGGTTTGTAAGTCACCTTTCAAAGGTTCCAACTCGTGGCCTGAAGCTGAAAACACCTCAGGTTTTGGGTGGATTTTTAGATTTACAAATTAAAATGCGAAAACTGAATAAAAGGGCAGAGCAAGTCACTGCCTTCGAAATGTCCCAAAACAGAAGTTTTAGCCGTTCTGCCATTTGTACTCCTCCTTGGAAATTCAGTTTTTTCCCCAGGTTTCCACATGGAAAACCTACTTTTTTTTCCTTCCCCAAAAGGTACTTTGCAGAATTTATTTAAAGTGCTTACCTTGTTTTTATTCTTCAGCACAACATAATGGTCGACTTTGCCGAAGCGAAGCCCCACACAAACCACTTCCAGCTCCCTGTATCCATCATCTGGCAAATTCCCGAGGTGCACAAACTGGTTATGGATGGATTCAGTGTTTACCTAAAAAAAAAGAAAAAAGGGATGGCAAAACCTGCTTTAACCTCGGCACACACTTTATGGGGCAGAAGAGCCCCAGAGACACCTCATTCCCCACACAGTGCCAGCAGAAACATCAAATAAATCCCAGGATTTTGGGAGGATCAAAGGGACATAAAGGCACCAGCAGACTCCTGAAATCCCAAATAAGTCTGACCTTTCATATTTGGAAGCTGGGTGTGTTTTGCAAACACTGACTCCCAACAAACTGGAGCAGTTTTGTTTGTACCCAGCAGAACCATAAGGAGGAAGCAGATCTCTCCAGGAACATTCCCAACAGGAAATTCAAGCCTTTGGGGCTCCCTGGGAAGTGGTTCATTGCTGGCAATATGATTTTTAACCAAACACTTCTGTCACTTGCTGACTTAGAGTCACTCCTGGGGGTTCCTGTGCCAACATTCCCACAGCTCCATCCCCAGGGATTGACCCTCCAGCAGGAAAAGCCTGGAAATGCTTTTCCCAGCAGAAATAGGAGTAAAATTTAACTCACCTGTACCTGCACTGTACAGAAATGCTGTGTATGTTCATTCCCAGCCTCCAGGAAACATTTAACTCAAGAGGAAACTGAGATAACACTTCAGTTCCCAATATTTCAGTAGGAAGGACACTAATGCCAATTAAGTTAAGGGGTTTGAGAGTATGTGGGGGAAAAGTTGAGAGCAACTCACCTGAGGGTCAGAATCTTTAATCAGGGCAGTAAATATGGCTTCCTTTAAAGAGAAGAAAGAAAAAAGGTAAGATTTGAGCTGTAAAATAGTCCCTGACTCCCTGCAAATGATTCAATTCAGCTTTAGTACTAAAATCAACACCTCCCTGCCATCTCTGCTCCTCTCACCAGGATCCCAAAGACATTTAACAGGATCCATTTTCAATGGCACAAACCCCTTGTTTTAGACACCAGACAGTGTTTAAAATTCACTCTAAACAAAAAAAGTCCTGCTCTGAATGGAGGCGTCCCCAGCTGAGCTGGAGCTCCCCTGGATCCTCTCACTCACTTCATCCTTGATAGTCTTGTACTGAGGCACCATGTTGATGCAGAGCTGCTTTCCATCCAGGGACATGGGGAAGCAGGTGTAGAATTTCACCATGGAATCTGCAGCTTTTCTGTTGATTTCCAGATATGCCTGACAGAAGAAACAAAAACTTTGAAGGAAAATTGGAATTTATCAAAGGCATCTCCCATCGATGCTTCCTGCATCTCATTTACACTCCTTGCAGACTCATTTGCTGCTTCTCCAGGAAGAAACACCACCAAACTCCATTAAAATACCTTTTTGTGAGAGGATAAAATCAGCACATCCTTCAGGCCCCCAAAGGGCTTGGCCAGGTTGGAAACTTCCTCCACGGAATATCCCTTGTCGGGCAGGTTGGAAACCAGGACCACACACAGGTCATCGGGGTCCTGCAAGAAATAAAGGCATTCTGGCTGCCATTCCTTCCACTCTGAATCAAACTTGGCTGCCCCAGCCCTGGGAGTGTCCACGGCCAGGCTGGATGGGACTGGGAGCAACCTGGAAGTGTGTGGAAAGTGTCCATGGAAAGGGGTGGGATTAGAGGGGACTTGAGGTCCCTCTGCACCCAGAGCAGTCTGGGAGTGTGTTCTCACCAGAAATAAACAGGAAGGGGGTTAAACTGGAGGTTTTCAGACATTACAGCAACACCTGGAAATGGCTCCAGGTGTGTTCCTACAATTCCCACCCTCACACCGACCTTCCTGGCTGGATCTGTTGGTTCCTCGCTCGGTGTGGCCGTTTCTGGAGGCTCTGGAAAACAGGGAAGGAGGAATTCAGTGGCTCAGGTTTCTTTAAATACCTCAGAACTTCAAGAACTTCCTGCATTGCATTTTATGCCTTGTGAGAAATCAATATTAAACATTCATTTCACAGTAACAACGTGGTGAGACACAGACAGTGTTAATGGAAATGCCCCCAGAAAGAACAGGTCCAAGGTGGGAATGTCCAGCCTGCAGAAGGGAAGGCTCCAGGGAGACCTCAGACCCCCCTCTAGTGCCTAAAGGGGCTCCAAGAGAGCTGGAGAGGAACCTGGGACAAGGGACGGAGGGACAGGACAAGGGGAAATGACTTCAAATTGGAAAAATGGAGATTTGGGTGGGATATTGGGAAGGAAATCTTCCCTGTGAGTGTGGCAAGGGACTGGAATGAATTTCCCAGAGAAGCTGTGGCTGCCCCACCCCTGGAAGTGTCCAAGGCCAGGTTGGACGGGGCTTGAAGCAACCTGGGATAGTGGAAGGTGTCCCTGCCCATGGCAGTAATGGAACTGGGTGGGATTTAAGGTCTGTTCCAATCCAAACCATTCCATGATTCCAGGATTCTATGACCTTTCCTTATCTGTACTACCTCAGGCACAGTAACTGAGAATTACCACACACTCGAGCTGGGTTTAACACGCAGTCTGCTACGGATGAGTTACAAAACATGGAACACAGGAACGACTGAGCCGAGGGGATTAAATCAGTGGTGAAGCTGCAAACAGAGCACACAGAGCCTGAATCCACGGGGTTCAATGCAAGTGTCCAAGTCACACCGAAAACTCCTGGAAGGATTGTCCTGTCTGTTGAAATTCATAAACCTCAGGGGTCTGCAGCCGCTTTGGGGGCTTTCAGCCCCTTCAGCCACCCCGATGAAATCCTGGGTTCTGGTCCAGCCCCCGAACCCGCTTTAACAGATTTTATTTCCTGGAATCCCAGTCCTTTCCACTTCCTGGCTGGAAAGCAACTCACGTAGCTCCCAAGACAAGAGAGGTTCAAGACAACTTTGCACTTTACCTGGTTTAATTAAAGCTTTATCAACCTCAGGCACGTCCAGCGCCGGCGCCTGAGGGGGCTGGGACGGGCTCCCTGACAAACAAACACATCCATAAAACATCTCCACGTGGAACTGCACATCCCCCAGGGGGAATGGCACTACAGACCCGGCATTACCTGGCACAGGTGCAGCACTGGGCTGGGTCTCCATGGGCACTGCAGGCTCTGGGATTCCATCCCCTTCCGTGACACTCTTTGGATCTGACGGCTCCGCTTCCTCAGCTTCCATCCCGGGCTCTGCCGAGGGCTCAGGATCTCCATCCTCAGGTTGTTCTGGCAAGGAACAGCAGGAAAAGGCATTTTTTGTTTCCACAGATCATTTAATCCATTTGCAGCAGCAGAATGAGCCGCACTGTGCATTTTCTGTCACATACTCAGAGGCCTCCCAGAAAATAAATCCCAGAAAATGGACGTCCAGGGACAGCTTTGTCCCAGACTCACCCCCCTTCCCTGTTTTTTTGGCTATTCCCGATCTACAAACAGCCCTGACAATCCCTGCAAGGAGGGTGTTTGCCTGTGGAACGATCCACTCGTGGGCAAGGCCAGGAAAGGTGTCACAGCCTGGCCTCACAGCTGGAAATCCCTGTGCTGGGAAGGGAAAAGCACCTCCTGTCTCCCAAGGGAGGAGTGAGAGTCCCCCCTCCTCTTACCTGCAGCACCTGGAGTCTTCTTGACCTTCTGCTCTCCTGTCACTGTTGATTTTTTGAGCTTTTCTTTTTTACCTACAAAAACACCCCAAAGCAGGTGTCAGCAGAAATGCTGATCATATAGAACTTAAAACCAATATAAAATGTTATACATACAATAAATAACACTCATTTAATATTAAAATGAAACAGCACAGCAATATTATACATGCATGCTAGTAATAAATTAATCACTGGGACAAGTATTGCTTACTAATGTAATATTGTTGTGAATAAAAAGGCATTATATGCACAACAGACAACTCTCCCCCCCCAAGTCTCACCTGTCAGGGGTTTGGAGGTCTTGGTGCTGGTGGTTGGAACTTTTCTATTAGGAGAATGAAAAATAATCCGTTTTAAAGACAATTAGCAAATATTAAAACAGCTTTAAAAAGTTCAAATCCATTAAAAAAAAATCACAAACAGATGTGAGACCTTCTCGTTCCCAGTCATTATCATTAACACTAAGTTATGCAAAGGCAACACTTACTTGGTACTTGCTGAAGCTTTTTTAACAGTCAGAACTCGTTTTTTTATGGTCTTTTTGACCTGGAATGGAAAGAAAAACAGTGACTGCAGCACTTGGACTTTCTTTGTGAATGTGTGTAGACACATAAAATCATTAATGATTATCAATAGTAATTAAGTATAAACAAAATATGGGTTGTGTTCTTCACCGTTCAACTGTTATTTCTGACATTTGATCTAAACTTTTCATAAATCTGTTTGTATAGACACACACACATCTAGAAGTAGGATTATTAATTCTTAAAAGTAGTACTAGTAATCAATAGTAACTAACATAAATATGAATACAAGCTAGCATCTTTCACGCTGGGAAGGTGCCCAGCCCACCTGGCCCGGGGGAGGCCGGGGTTTCTCTGCCACGCTGATCCGGACGCGCCTGCCGTTGAGCAGCACCGGCGCCGTCTCCCCGTACTTCACGGCGGCGATCACGGCCTCCTTGTAGTTCATCTCCAGGTAGGCCTGAAACACAGGGAATTCCTGGTCTTACCGGGCACAAGACACTGGGACTCCTCCTCAGCAAACATGTTTCTGATGGAACTGTGCGTGCTGAACCCACGTGCAGCTTGATGGGAAGTCTGGATTTCTCCACTACGCCAGAACCATCCCATTGCCTCCAGCTGCCATGGCTCAGGCAGAATAAAACAGAATAAGCACAGTAACTTAAAAATGACACATAAATAATTTATAATAATACATAATATACATTACAGATGTTAAAGTATACATTCTATATAATCTACAATGTATTATAATATTAAATATAATGTATAATACATAATTCATAGGTAAAATTAAATATATGTAAATATATAAAGACGTGATGTAATATACACTACATATATGATATAGTATATATATCTCATATATATTATATATTAAAAATCTATAAAGTATACATATAAATCACATATATATAACTTTTATAGCTATATAATGAAATGAAAAAACGTAGGGTCTGAATTGGTATCGTTTTCCCAGCTCCAGCTGCTCCGAGATTATTTGTGTGACCTTAAAGCTCCTCAGTTGTTTGTCATTAATGCCACATTGACCTGAGGTTCCCACGTCCCACGTTCTCCCTGCCCCGCTCACCTCGTTCCTGGAGCGCAGCACGATGAGGTCGCTGACTTTGCCGAAGGGCTGCACGAGCTTTTTGATGTCCTGATCCGAAAACCCGTCGTCCGGTAGGTCCGAGATCTGCAGGACGGTCCCACAGCTCAGCAGGTCCTCCCTCAGCAGCTACGAGCAGGACACAGAAGGAAAACAAACACTTCCCGAGTCAGGGGTTTTGCCACAATCTTCTTGTTTTGCCGTTCGGGAGGTGTCCCAGGCCACGTTGGACGGGGCTTGGAGCAGCCTGGGATAGTGGGAGGTGTCCCTGCCCGTGGCACGGGGTGGGACTGGGAGGGCTTTAAGGTCTCTCCCAACCCAAACCATTCCATGACTCCATCATCCCCATCCTTCCCTGCAGCCAGCAGGCCTCAGTATCACATGGAATGGGTCACCCTCCCCATGACCCCCTGAAGGGAAACACCAACCGAGTCCTTAAAAATCAGGGAAAACTGCAGGAACTCACCCTGTTGTAAGAAGCAGACTGAGGTTTGCTGCTCCCTGCAGATTCATCTTCCTCATCCTCTTCCCCCTCTTTGTTTTGGGCCGATTCTTCCGTTTTGGGGGAGGCAGAACTCGGCCCAGGCACAGCAGACGCATCCTTCTTGGAAGCCTTTGGAGCAGCACTTGTCTTCAGTGGCTTCTTCACACTCCCAGGCATCTTCCCCGGCGGTCCATGAGTGGATGAGGATCTCCCTGATCCCAGGGATCCCTGCACAGCTGCCTGAAGTGATTTATGTTTCTTGAACTCTGCCAGGAACTCAGGCCCCAGGGTTTTCATGACGGCCTCGAGCGCTGCCTTTCTGTCTGAGGGAGGGAAACCAGGGGGGTTGGATTTACATTTAAATACAGTTTACAGATATTTCTGTTCTTTCCTACAGTTTCAGCTTCACCACCCACTCCTGAGCCAACCCTGAGCTTAGAGAACCTTCACAGTAAATATTAATAAACCTCAGGATGTGACACTCCAAAACAACATCCACAAAAATCCCAAGGGCTGGACAAAAGAAAATGCAAAATATCCTTTAGTTTTCTATGTCAGGGAACGGAAAGGAGGGATTTTTGAAGCCTCTGCTCCTCTCTCACACTGAGGCCCAGGAGTACTTACTATCTTGGTGCCTTCTGCTAAATTCTGCCTCCTTCTCTTGCACTTTGTTGGTTTTAATTATTCTTTAACGAGCTGCTACAACAATAATTTCCTGTCTGCTGGCTTTCTGTGGAGAATTCACATTTTGGTTATTTGTTGCTTCTCCCCCTCCTCCATTTCCACGGTTTGTATTTTACCCTCAATAAACCTCTCGGAATCTGCCTGTCCCTTCACAACGTCCCACCTGGACCTCTCAGAGCTCTGGAAGCACACCGCCAAGGCAGCCTGGGTGGGACTCTCCAGGGAAGCCCCTGGACACCAGCTGGGTGTTCCCGCAGGGACAGCAGGTCCCCTGTGGCAGCGCATCTCCACCCGTACCTTCCGAGCGGCTGGACCTGCGCGAGGAGCGCTCGGAGCTGGAGGACCTGTGGGAGCGGGAACTGGAGCGCAGGGAGCTCCTGGAGCGCTGTGGGGACCGGGACCTGTGCCGGGGGCTGGGCCGGCGGAAGTGCCGGGGGGGGCTGCGGCTGCGGGGCCGGCGGAAGCGCCCGGGGCTCCGGGATCGGGATCGGAAGCGCCGCAGGGGGTACCCGGAGCCCCCCGGGCGGTAGCGCCGCCGGCTGGGGCTGGAAGAGCTGGAGCGGTGCCTCGGGGTCTGGTTCTCCTTCCTGTCCCCAGCATTCCTGTGGGAACGAGGGAACACGGTGAGCTTGGCAAGGTGGGAGAGAGGAATTCACTGAGAGAGCTGGGGGGGTTCCCCTGGAGAAGAGAAGGATCCAGGGAGACCTGAGAGCCCTGGCAGGGCCCAAAGGGGCTCCAGGAGAGCTGGAGAGGGACTGGGAACAAGGCATGGAGGGACAGCACACAGGGAATGGCTTCCCACTGCCAGAGGGCAGGCTTAGATGAGACATTGGGAAGGGATTCCTGGTTGGGAGGGTGAGGAGGCCCTGGCACAGGTTGGGCAGAACAGCTGTGGCTGCCCCTGGATCCCTGGGAGTGTCCAAGGCCAGGCTGGAGGGGGCCTGGGGCAACCTGGGTTGGTGGAAGGTGTCCCCGCCCATGGCAGGGGGTGGCACTGGGTGGGCTTCAAGGTCCCTTCCAACACAAACCATTCCATGATTCTGTGATTATTCTCCTCATGGAAGTTTCAGAAGTTTATTCACTTTATTTCTCCTGGTTTGTAACAGAGACCTCACATGGCAAAGCAGCCTGGCCTGCACATCCAGCTTTCGAACTCAGCTTCCCAGGAAGGACGTCAAACTAATTAATGCAACACCTCAGGAAAATCCAAGGACAATTCCAGCCCTAACCCCCCTATTTGTACACGAGGCAAAACATGTAGAAATGCTGAAGCAGTAAAACCACCCAACTGTGCTGAGCTTCAAAGGGAATTAATGCACAGGGGGTGTTCTTACAAAGAATTCATCACAGACAGTGAAGGCCAGAGGTGGGAGTTCACGAATTCCAGGGTTTTTTCAGCTTGTGATGATGTTGTGCCCCAAGGGATCTCCAGAGGCCAGGATGCAAATGGGATTAACTAGACCAAGATTAGTGGAATTCCCATGTGGAATGAGATGGGCTTTACAGTCCCTCCAACCCAACCCAAGCCAACTCTAAGAGAAACCCCCCAAAACCACCCCCCCAATTCTGTACCAGAACTACGACCCCCCTGGGAGGGGCTGCAGGGGGCAAACCAGGGAAAAGAACTGCCTTAATTACCAGAAAATAACTGAACAACTGGAAAAGCACAAGCAGGTACCTGCTGGAGTGAGCCTCGGGGTTCCATTCTGGGTACCTGCCAAGGGAACAGAGGCGTCAGTGCAAAACCCAAATTTCCCACCTGCAGCACAAACCCCACTTTTTAGCCTAAAAACAGGCTGCCCTGAGCAGCTGTGGGTGCCCCACCCCTGGGAGTATTCCAGGTTGGACAGGGCTTGGAGCCCTGGGCTGGGGGAAGGTGTCCCTGCCCATGGCAGGGGTGGCACTGGGTGGGATTTACTGTCCCTCCCCTCCCAAGCCATTCCCAGCAGATCCCCTACTCTTACTGTGATTTATTATCCCTCCCCTCCCAAGCCATTCCCAGCAGATCCCAAGCAGACCCTTTATTGTTGCTGGGATTTATTACCCTCCCAGCCCAGGCCATTCCCAGTGGGCCCCACGCAGATCCCTTACTGCTGGCGGAGCTTGCGGCAGCTCTCGATGTGGGAAGGGTTGTTCTGGTGCAGGATCCAGTCCTGGGGGAGAAAGGACACCCCGAGAGGTTGGATCAGAGTGGGAAATGTCAGCACTGCCCACAGTCTCTAGTGATGTTTGCTGTGTTTTGCCTTCCACCACATTTTACCTTAGGAACCATCTTAAGGGTCAAATTTCCACCTGGGGTATTAAAACCTTAAAATATTATCAGCACAAGGTGTCACAGAACACAGAGTGGAAGGTGAGCAAAATACACCGTGTTCCATGAAACAGATGAAGGAATTAACCCCAGCAGCACCCCGGGGGCTGTCACTGCATGGATCAGGAAAGGCTGATCCAATAACTGGGTAAATTAAAGGAAATAAAGCCATTACTGGCTTTCACAGGCTGTCAGACTGATGAACACCCCCAGCAAACCCAGAAAACACAGAGCCCCAGACGTGGCATCTCCGAGTCAGATCTCATTCCCACCCCAGCCTGGCTTTCCATGCCTGGAGCTGCAGAACATTCACCCCCAATCACGTCACGGCTAAAGGTCACTCCGAAGCCTCGGGACGTTCTTCACACACACACTGATTTATTTTACATTAAAGAGCCTTATCAAGGGGTTTATCTTGAGGAAAACTGTGGGGTTTAGTAGAGACAGTGCAAGCCCTCAAGCTTGAAAAAAATCTTAATATTACTTACAAATCCTTAAGCTCAGGTTTAACTGTGAGCACAGACAGTCCCCAGTGTGGGGAGCTGGAAAGCAAAGGAGTCAGCTTGCTGTGGAGAAGGGATATTCCGTGGTCTGAAACTCTAAGGTGTAATGTGTCTGTGGTAATTAGTAAACATTCCTAAAAAACCAACGTCCAGCTGCTCTAATGGTATAAAATACAATCAAATATATAACAATGAACATAAAGTAACAGCTGTGTAACGCAGCTGGCAGGCCGGGCTGGGTAAATAATCCCCAGCTGCGAAATTCCACGTCACTTTTCCCAAGCACACGCTGGTCTGGAACACGAGAAGATGCTCCAGCGTGTCTCTGGCAGCACATAAACCCTCTTGTTTCTCTGACAAAGAGCTCATGGTGGGAGGGGAAGGAGCCCTGGGAAGGGCACAGCTCCGGCTGGGAATGGCTGCTCCCGGCACTCACACCACCAGCTCCGGGATGTGCTCCAGGACTTCCCAAACTCCCATAAACCTGGGGGCTCCATGGAACTAACGTGCATTTGAAGCACAGGATTTGTTACGGTTTCCTGCAGACACCGACAACCCACCTCAAAAGGCACTGGGAGATCCACTCACCGTGTTCCCAACGTTCTGCTCACTCCAGCTGCCCCAAACGAGGCAGGAAAACACTGTTTGGGATCACTCTGCGTCCAGCTCACGAGTCAGAAGCAGCAATTCACCATCACACACTGGTTTTCCCTAATTCCAGGCCATCTCTAAGCAATCCTGTTCAAAGGATCCCATTTTTCTAGTCAATTTAGCCAGGACACAAAGGCTAAATCAAGAGCTGGTAGAAATTAAAGGGAATTTGGCTCCCAGAATTCCGCTTCCATGGTGCCAGAGAAGGGGACACGGTGCCAGTGAGGCCCAGGGAGGGCATTTGGTTTCCAAGTGCCTCCAGCTGCTGATCCAATGCCGTTCCTGGGATTACAAAGGGAGATTCTCCTCCCAGCAGACAAGGACAACGTTCTTCTCTTTGCCAAGTCTTTGCTGTGCCAAAGCCCTCCTGCATCCCAGAGCTACAGGAGTCTGGATTTATGGATGTTCCTCCTCTTTGACTCACTCCTGGCCTTTCGCAGTCTTCAGGAATATTCCACTGTCCACAGACTCTGGGTTGGAAAAGTCCATCCCATCCCACTCCTGCCATGGGCAGGGACACCTTCCAGCAGCCCAGGTTGCTCCAAGCCCCATCCAGCCTGGCCTTGGACACTTCCAGGGATCTCTGGGCTTCCATCAGTCCCCAGAGATGGATCCCTTCCCATCACACTCTGCTAAGAGGAAGGACTTCCATCCAGACTCCTCCAGCAGCTGCTCCACAACCCAACTCCCCCAGGGCCAAGCCCCTCCACCTTCCCTCACCCCATCCCGCCCTCCTCCGCCTCAGGGATCACCACCACCAACGTCCTGACACGGGAGGTGAGGGAGCAAAGCATCTCCAGTCTTAAACTCCCCTCAGCAGAGGAATTCCAAGTGCAATTCTCTGTGGAAAACAAGGAGTCCCCGTGGCTTCATGTGATTCCAGGTCCAAGACGCCGCCGCCCTCCCTTTACATTGGTTTAGAGAACAGAGCTTGTGGTAAATACACGGGACACACGATCTCTTTGTGCTGGGAACTCTGCAAACCCACTTCATTCCAAATGGGAAGTGTCTGAAGGCGGAGAAATCCCACTTTGTTACCCCAGCACAACACGAGCTGAAGTGGGAAATGGGGCTGCTCTGTGAAATACTCATAGAACGCTGCAACACACTGAGGGGTTTGTACATGGAGCTGAAAGAGGGAGTGAGATTCCACCTGACCAAGGGCAGAACTGGACACTGCCCTGAAAACAGTGCAGGACACAAAGACAACAATTTTTGAGAACACCTTCCAGGTCAAGTAGCATCAATTTACGCCTCCAATCCCATTTTTATGGCTCAAAAAGCTGACCTTGTGTGAGAGCTCCCTTTTCTACAACCCCGAGGAAGCCACAGGGACCTTCCCAGACTCACTGAGGTGGGAAAAGCCCTCTGAGATCATCCAGTCCAACCTCCCCAGCACTGCCAAAGCCACCACTGACCACATCCCTTCCTGACAGGCAGAAACAAGGTGGGATCTGTTCCATTTGGGATGCTGCCCCAGACCCTCCTTTCAGCCCCCAGGCACCTCCACTGACCCCAAACCCACGATGTCTCAGGCAGGTGAGGGGCCTGTTGACCTGCCATCGATCACTGCACCCGAGGGTTATCCACATCTCACCAAGAAGGGTCCAAGCTTAAAAGTACCTATTTTTCACAGGCAAGTCCATCACAACTCTGGATGTAGATGAGAGATACCACAGACTGTTACTTCTGTACTGTGCATTAGCCAAAAACCACCTTAAAAACACATCCAAGTCTGCAGGAGGGAGGCTCGGGGTGGTTTTCTCGTTACAGAAGAGCGAGAAAATACATTTTCTGTCTGACACTCCAACCTCTGTGATTTGGTACTGCAGACACCTCCAGGCCATCTTCAGCTTGGATTTCATCAGAGCTCCTTAATTCAGGGAGATAATTAAGGAAGAGCTGCAGGGAGAGCCAATGGGATGACTTGGGCACCAACAGAAGGGTTTTCCAATCCAGAGGACGCTCAGCTCCCGGTGTTTTGGCACGTTCAGGGCAGAGCCAGGCTGGAGGGACACGGAGGGGAGGTGATGTCTCACATCCAGGTGTAAACCCCTGGTTTTAATAACCAATGGCAGGAAAAGTGCTGGAATTCTCTTCCAATGGGTAATGCAGCTTCTGCTTCAGCGCTGTCATATCTGAGAGAGATTGGACTTCAGTCCAAGAGCGGACTAAAGGCAACTATGAAAAAATGCAGCTCCTCACTGTGAAAAACCTGAACTGGGAATCCCTCACTGTGACGTGACTGGAACCTGGCCTTCAGATACTCGGTACCTTCCAGTGTGGGATGAAGAGAAGTGTTTCTTCACTCAGCATCTTCCATCGTCCTCATCTGCTCGTGTCACATCCTGCCCTTTGCTGCCAGCCCTGGCAGCATCTCCGGGGCCTCCTCTGGACTCTCTGCAGCAGCTCCACGTCCTTGTGCTGTTGTTCCCAGGGCTGGGACAGCTCTGCAGGGGGGCTCACTGAGAGGGCAGAGGGGCAGAATCCCCCCTGCCCTGCTGCCCATGCTGGGGGATCAGCCCAGGGCACAGCTGCTGGCCAGGGCATGTCCAGCCTCTCACCCACCAACACCCCAAGTCCTTCTCCTCAGGCTGCTCCTCACCAGTTCCCTTCCCAGCCTGGATTTGCACTGGGATTGCCCCAACCCAGGAGCTCCTGGCCTTGGCCTTGTTGAACTTCATGAGGTTTGGAAGGTCCCACCTGTCCAGGTCCCTCTGGATCCCTTCCCTCCAGCCTGTAACCTCACCAGAGCTCCGTGCCACCTTCAGACATGCTCAGGGTGTGCTGATGCCACTGTCCGTGTCCCCAGGGAAGGTGTCCAAAAGCACCGGCCCCAGTCCCGACCCCTGTGGATTCTGGTTGTCACTGGTCCCGGCTGGACACGGAGCCACTGACCAAACTCTGGGTGTGACCATCCAGCCCACCCCTCGAGCTCCATCCATCACATCCACGTCTCCGGGTCACACACGCCGATGCCACGTGGGAAGTGTCACCTCCTTGGAGCCCCCCCAGCAATGGCAGGTCTGGTGACCTGGACCCAAACCCAGCTGCGAGGGGCCCGTTCAGTCCAGGAGCTCTGGGGACACCTGAGGCCCATCCAGCTCTCCCAGCACAGGACAGGGGTGTCCAGAGACACAAACCCTCACTGCCCAGGTCACCTTTAACCACCCACCTGGGGCAAAGACCCAAACTGTAGGGATTTGCAGAACCAAACTGTGGGGATTCTTCGTTCTCTGCGCTTCACCAACCCACAAGATGAGCATTTCTTCAACAAGCTTCTCTTTTTTGCAGTAAAACCCCAACTCTTGTGGTTCTTTGGCTCCACTGTTGTGTCACCAGGGCTGGTCCCGGGAGGCCTCAGGTGCACAGACACCAAACACTGCCCTGGAGGAAGTCAAGCGAGGCCAGAGCCAAAGGAGGTGGGACAGGAGCAGAGGCTGGGAGGCTGCAGTCGGATCAGGATGTCTGGGAACACATCCTGTGCTGCAGTGCCACCAGGACAAGAACTCATAACCTTTAATCCACCCCCAAAACCTCCCAGCTAATTTGTCAACAACTATTTTTAGTAACAACATTTGCTTCATTTTCCCAGGCTCCCGTAAACGAGCGACTGGACAATTCCCACCTACACAGATCCCACTTTCCCAAAGTGCTTCTTTTCTTCCCTTTATTTTTTTAATTCCCTTTTCCCCTTTAATAACACCCCCCTCCCGATTTGTTCCATTTCACCCATTTTTATTTTAATTCACACTTCCTTTCCCAAGCTGCCCATCCCCCTGGGGGAAAGGCCTTGGGACTTTGTTTATTTTTCCCTAACCCACCTTTAGTCAGTCAGATTTTTAATTCACAGCACAAACAGGGCACAAAATCTCCGGGATTTTGCCAAATTACAAAAAGCCCTTCTCCCCACAGCCTTTCCCCAGGTTGCTCAAACACTGCATGCAATTTAAACACGTGAAAAGATTATTAATGAATTATTCAATGGTTTTTGTTACCCTCTCTCTTATTTTTGATATGTCAAACCCTGGGCTTTCCAGGAAAAGCCACATCTTTCAGAATTTTTTTTATCTCCCAGTATCCACCAGTTTTCCCTTTTATTCTCCCTTCAAGGCCGGACTGTGACTCCCTTCAGAGCTGGAAGCTCGGCCGGATGAATGGAGGCATTTTGTGTGTCCCCCTGAGCCAGGCTCCAGCCTCTGGAAAACTCACACAGAGCACGCCTGGGAGATGAAAATTTCGGGTTCTAAATGGGCTGGTTTGTTTTAAGGCAGAGTTTGGAGCAGGGGGGTGAACACATGAACATCTCCCCACCCCGTGACGTGATTTTAGCCCCCCCGATGACGTTCAGGTTTCACTCCACCGCCAAGGGTTTGTGTTGCTGTCCGAAACCCGCTGCAAAGGCAGAAACCATTTGTGATATTAAACAGAGTTAAAACTCAACCTTTAAACAGCTGTGAAATGCAACTGGGAACAGGACACAGTGTTACAGCCATTGCCAGCACATCAGCACTCAAACTGGCGACTGGCATCCCAATCCATTGAGCTGCCGGGAAAACAATCTGCCCCCAGAACGGGGTGGCAGGAAAGGTGCCGAGCACACGCTTAGGGAATAATCTGGGAAAGACACTCACCTTCATCTGAGTGCATTCAAGGTTACACAGAGAACACAAATGTGGGAATATTCGCGGCGACGTCGCATAGTAGTCGTTCATCATGGACGGGGTGGGCAGGCGTTTGCTCTTCTGGGTGTCGTGGAACACGGGCAGCCAGGACGCCTTCACCACCCCGAACGGGGACTTGATGGGCCCCTCGGCATGGAAGCCTTTGTGGCCCCCTCCGGCCCTGCCGGAGGAGCCGGAGCCGCTGCCGGTCTCGCGCTGCTTCTGCTCGTGCTGGCTGATGGCGGCCAGGAGCCCGGCGGAGAAGGGCGGCGACGTCAGCGGCGGCAGGACGTGCTGGGACACGGGCGGCTGCACCAGCGGCGGCATCACGGGCGGCAGCAGGGGCTGCGCCAGCGGCGAGGGCAGCAGGGTGGGCATCATGGGCGGCAGCACCGGCGGCATCGGCGCCTGCGACGCGGGCGTCACCACGGGCAGCGCGGCGGGCGCCGGGCACAGCCCCGACACCTTGGCCGGGGGCTCGGCCGGGAAGAACGGCGGAGCGCCGGAGGAGTCGCCCTGGAAGGCCGGCAGCTTCATCAGATCCTCGGCCGGGAACACGGGGTTGCAGGGCACGCCGGGCGGCGGGACGGGCACCGGCACGCCCTGCTCCCGCGGCACGTCCTCCCTGCTGTCCGCGCCCGGGCCGTCGGGGTTGTACACGCAGGGCTCCAGGGGCGGCTCCGGGAGCCCCTCGGGGGCGTAGGGGCACACCTCCAGCGGGTCCTCAGTGTAGCCGTACTTGCTGGCGTGCCCGTAGTCGATGACCTTGCCCTTGACGGCCGCGCCACCCGGCTCTGCCCCCCGCTCGTCCCCGCGGGCCGGGCCGCGCAGGCCGGGCGCGGGCTGGCCCATCTTGCGGATGCGGATCTCGCGCAGGATCCGCGGCATGTTCTCCGGGGTCAGCTGGTCGTCGGGGTAGCGGCTGAGCTCCTCCAGGTCCTCGTTGGACAGCCCGAAGCTCGCTAAAATGCTGGAGGCGCTCTCGGGCGTGTAGCGGTTCTGGGCGCTCGAGTTCTGCTCCAGCACCGGCACCGGGGCCGGCGCGGGCGGCTTTGGCGCGGCTGTCCCGGCCGGGCAGGGGCTGTTGTCCCAGCGGTTGGGACGAGGGTCTCCCTTCTGCTCCTGGTGCAGGTTGTTCTTCTCCTTGACCTTCCTGGGATCCGCCCTGTGCAGCGTGACCCGCACGTTGATCCTCTGGGAGCCCGTCCACTGCAGCGAGTCCTGGCCCGGGGGTCTCTGGGGCGCTGCCTGGGGGGCTCCCGGCGCTGGCTTCCTCTGCGGCCCCGCCGCCCCTCCTGCCCCGAAGGATCCCGGAGGCTTGCTGCCCGAGGGGTTGGGTCCCCTGGGCCTGGGGGGCAAGGTTCCTCTGGGGTTAAACATCGCGTCTTTGGGCAACGCCTGGCGGAACCCAGCGTGGGCAGGGGCCGCGCCGCCGCCGGACACCGAGGACCACGACTGCAGAGCCAAGTGGGTCTTAATTTGGGCAAGCTGAAAGGGAGGAGGGCCCAACACAAGGGGGCTGGCAAGGCCAAGGTTCAGGGAATTCACAAGTGGTGCGAAACTTTCCAAGAACAACACAAAGCTGCAAGTTAAAAGACAAGGATTAGATGGTTCGTCTTGTCACCTGCTCACAGCGGGTGAGAAAAGCAACCCAAGGCACAAAACAGGGTCTGCAGGACAGTTAAAAAGGGTCTTTTAGAGCTCAAAATTCTGTCAAACAAAAACATTTTCTTTCACTGAGTAAAATCTTAATATAAAGAACAGGTAGGTAATTAAGTGAAGGAGCTTTACCCAACGAGCTCAACCTCACAGCTCACACAGCTAGAGAGGACACTTGGAACAGCACCGCTTCAAACCTGGTGTTTCATTTCTCCAGGACAACAGAGTTTGGGTTTGTTACAGCTCATTTTATAAGCAGTGGGGCAGAGGGTGAAGCCCCTCTCCAAAGGCTGACGAGGGATGGACTGGAAGTGAAACCATTACATGGAGAACTCAAACCAGTTACAACTCGGTGTCAGGTCGCTGTGGAGCCAAGCTGAGGTCGGAGCAGCTTCCAGGAGGACACTCCCATGACACTCTCATGGGTAACAACTAAACCCTGCAAGAATTCAGGGGGTGTGACAACGCTTGGGTTCTGTGGATAGAAAATTTCCATTTCCCAGATGTTCAAAGCAAGAGCTTAAATTGAAAGGACTTGAAACAGAGAGGTGCAAAATCGTACAGAAACAAAAAAACCATCTAGACACATAAAAAAGCACCATGGTCATAGGAACTGGGTCTTATTTTAGGGCAAACCACTGAGAGATCAGTCCTGTAAGGCAGGAGAAGAAGGTACAAACAGAAAGAGAGTAAAATTAAACAGCACAGAGTTCTGGAAATAGAACCACAGAGTGGTTAGGAAAGGACCTTAAAGACCATCTGATTCCAGCCCCTGCCATGAGCAGGGACACCTCCCACCAGACCAGGCTGTTCCAAGCCTTGTCCAACCCGGCTTCGGACACTTCCAGGGGTGTGAAGAATGAGACAAGAACAGTAAAACAACAGAACTGTGGCAAAGTTCTGGTGCAGCTCCTCGCTGGCTGAGCAGGGGACACTGGGAAGTCCTTGGTTTAGGGCGAGCACAACAACAGCCAAAAATCAGTGTGTCCTCAGCAGCATCCTCACCCCCAGCCCAAAACACAGCACTGCAGGAGCAGCTACTGGGATTCAGAAGTTACCTCTGTCCCAGCCCAAACCAGGCACAACCAGCACAGCCAGAGGCATCCCCAGACCTCCTCCCGTGCCCCAGTGGCTCTGGGGTCCCCCAGAACTGCACAACTGCTGCTCCCACACACGAGGAGTCCTCCTGGCAGAGCTCTGCTCCCTGCTGCTCTGGGTTCTTCCTGCAGCTCCTGGGTTCTTGCAGTGCTGGGGTTCTTGTTGTTCCTGCAGCTCCTGGGCTCCTGCAGCGCTGAGGTTCTTGTTGTTCCTGCAGTGCTGAGGTTCTCGTCTCAGCAGCACCGACCCCCTCCCAGGGTTTGTTTTCCGAGCCCTGGGAGGTGACTCCACAGCAGCTGTTCGTGGGCAGAGGTGCCTCTCCCGTGGTGTCACCCAGAAGGAATGAGGACCACGAGGAATAAACCCTGCAGGGAGTGACCCCCACACAGGTGCTGGAGGGATCTTCCAGCTCAGTTCCTGGAGCTTGTTCCTATCTGTGTGTAAGTTCTATCAGGAATTACTTCATTTGGATTAAGTACAAACTGCTCAGGCCAAGGAGGAACATCAATCCTATTACACACAGGGAGCTGTAATAACCAGATTCCCACCAGACAGCAATCCCAAACTCCGACCTCTCATCCAAGGCTCCTTGCCCAATATCCCTCCTCCCTCCACAAGTTCAGTGGGATTTCAATGGGAGCTGCATGTGAGGCCAAGTTTGCCCAAGACAGTTTCCAAACAGACATGAACAAACACCCCGAGCCATCTCCTGCCTTTCAGTTTGGGGTTTCTCTGGAACTCTCAGCACTGGAGGGCAAAAAATCCCTCTCAGCTCATTCCTGGGGGAAGCAGCTGGAGAGGGAACACTCTGAAAGCCACCCATTGACAGAACAACCATGAATAGTTGAGAAGAGTAAGTTTTAAACACAACCAACCCTAATTGCACAGGTCAGGAACCTCCCAGAGGAGAGAACGAGCCAGAATTCCAGTGGGATGAAGTTTCACCAGTAAGGTGTCTCCAGGTGGTGCAGGTCACTGGGTCACCCGTGTGCTGGGAGCAGGGATGATCCCACACCAGGATCTGGAACCACTGCCACAGCTCATCACACCTCAGCTCACACCCCTCAGCCTGGCCAGGGAGGGTGAGCCAGGATGGACGGGGCTCGGAGCAACCTGGGCTATGGAAGGTGTGCCTGGTCAGGGCAGGGGTGGGACTGGGTGGGATTTAAGGTCCTTTGCCCCCAGACTGCTGAGGGATTCTAGGAGGTGCTGCACAGCAGCAGCGTCCAAGGCAGCCACTGTCAGCTGGGGTCTGCTGGGACCTTTCCAAAGGAAAGGCTGGAAATGACAGCAGGAAGTGCTGTCTGAGGAAATGCCAAGACCAAGGAAACAATGGTCAGGGATGTCAGGGGAGAGTCTCACCTCCCTCCTCAGGGCAGCTTTGTTTGGGGAGTGTCTGGGGACTGCTGGGACAGGGACACCCCCAGCATTCCCAGAGCAGTGCCCGAGCCCTGAGCTGGGGCTGCAGTGACACCTTCCACTAGAACAGGTTGCTCTGAGCCCCGTCCAGCCTGGCCCTGGAGGAATCCTTAGGGGAAAATCAGAGGTGATGTGGAGGGAGGGAGGGATGAGAGCACTCCCAGCACTGCCAAGGTGTCCCAGTTCCTCCCAGTCGCAGAGGGGCTGCTCACACCCAGCCCAGCAGCTCTTCACCCCCCTGCCCCTGTCACCAGCTCCTCCAGGGCCTCGTGGAGCCCAAGCTCTGCGTGCTGCAGGTCAGAAGAAGCGATCCCAAGCCCTTGGAGCCATGTCCACAGTCACTGGGAGCACCAGACACCTGCCAGTCCCAGCACAACACAGACAACCACCCCAACATCACCCCGGGGCATGCCAGGCTGGCTCTGGCACCTCGGGAGAGGGTGGAGGTGGATTTCTGGAGTCCCCAGGAAGGTTTATCTGAAGAGAAAGTCTGGCGAGCCACTGGAAGGAGAATTTTCTGATTTGTCCCTATAAATAGCAGGGAATTTTCTGGCTCTGTGCTAATTGCAGAGCAGATAAATAAAGATGGCCCTGCGCCCCCAGGCTGGGAGAGCTGCTGTGCCTGTGCCGTGAGCTGTTCCAGGACTGACCATATCCCCAGGGATGGGGCCATGTTCACCTCCCCTCGCCACAGTCCAAGACCTGGATCTCTTCTGCAGGTTCCTTGGTGTTCTCCTGACGGCCAAACCAGCCTCTGGAGCGACCTGGATTCTCCTCTTCCCTGCTGTTCCCAGCACAGTGATGGTGTCCGGTGGGGGCTGAGGGGCTCCACCTGCCCCAGCCCTGGCAGAGCCCGAGGGCCCTCACAGGGGACTCCTGGTCGGATCATTCCTCATCCAACTCCTGCCACATCAGCCTGGACACGCCTCCACCAGGGTCAGGAAGTGGCAAGGCATTCCCAGCCATCCTCCTGCACCTGGGAATTCCTCCTCAGCACCTGGAGCTTCCTCAGGTGCCACACAAGGCACTGCCCCTGCCAGCACAGAGCCCTGGAAGGACAAACACCTTCAGAGGGACGTGCTTCACTCTGGTTTATCCAGTGTCCATCCATGTTATCCCTCGATCCAGGGATGCTCCAGCTCCTCTGAGGGTGCTGAGCCCAGCCCTCCCTGGTTTTGGCAGAGCCGAGGCAGCCCCTCCTGCGGGTGGACTGTCATTCCAGCAGGATCCCCTGCCTGCTCAGGCAAAGATTCCCAGGGTAACAGAGGTGAACACTGCTCCCAAATCCTCCCACACCTGGGCCACCCAGGAGCTGCCTCCGGGCACGTTCCTGCTGCCATCTCCAGATCCGGCAGGATCCGAGCTGGGATCCCAATTCCAAGAGCCAAGACCAAGCCCAGGCTCCCGGTTCACTCCATTGGGAATGTTCTGGACACACCAGGGCAGCACGGCAGGATCTGTCCTGGAGCAGGAGGAGAGGCAGGATGGCTGTTTGCCTTCAAGGAATGGTGCTGGAACACCTGGATGGCAGGAACATCCCAGCCCAGGCTCCACACACTGCTGGGCTTCCCAGGGCCAAGCAAACTGCAGAGCTGAGCTGGAACTGCAGAGCCCAACAAGAGGCAGCTGAACCTCCAGGACCAGGGGTTGTAGGGCCCCCAAAGAGCACGGGAAGGGAAAGGAAGCACTTAGGGAAGAGAATTCCTGGGAGAAGATAAAGACAACCTGCCAGGGGAAGGGCAGGGAGACAAAAGCCAGGCCCTTGTTCCCCCCCAGTCCACACCACAGTCACCCTGGCAGCCAAACTGCCCCCGCCCTCCTGACCGTGGAGCAGGACCCTGCAGGTGGGAACATCCCTCCAGGCTGCAGGGAGAGCCTCACCTGGGCCAAGCTCAGCCCAGCCCCGCCTGCTTTAGCCACAAATCCCCACCACGGCCCCCAGGGAGAGGGAACTCCATCCCTGCCAGAGCCAGGGCCGCTGGAGCACCACCATCAGCCACGTGATCCGCCCAACTCCCCCCAAAACTGCCCCAGCCCAGCCTGCCAGCGGCAGGTTTGGGACAAACACACAGAGCACCACCTGCACCAGCCTTCCAGCAGGGAACTCCTGGAACAGCACAAAAAAACCAGGCACTTCAGCACCAGGAATCCACCAGACTTCTTCAAACTTCCCTTTCCACGCCAGATTTTCGAGCAGCACAAACCCTGACCTGTTTTATACACGAGCACCAGCTCTGGGTGCACACAAAAGCCTCACAGACAGAGCAAACACCAAGATTTCTGCCTAAAACTCCCTATAAAAAGCCAGAATTCCACGTAGAATATTTAACTCGGTGCCAAAGAAATAGGAAAACGTTTTATTTACCTTCAAACGTGAAGCACAAAAGGAAAACAAAGGTCCCTGTGTTGCTCCTCAGACCCAGACGAGCTCCTGGTCTGGCAGCTGAGCTCAGCCCCAAAACCCAAGTCCAAGGGATTCAGGGGAGAAAAGCAGGGAAGAGAAGGAATCCGGCAGGTTTTGTCAGCATTTGGAACCCCACCCTGGGATAAACATCCTCAGTTACCATCAGAATTTAGGGAAGAGGAGGTTGGGCTCGTCCCTTCCGCCCCCCACCCTGGAGCCAGGGGGATCCTCTGGGCACACTGTAATTCCTATAAATCAGGGGAAAGAAATGAAACTCGGGATCCTCCTCGTCCTTGGAGAGAGGCTGGTCCCAGGGAAAATAATTACCTCATGGCAGATCCACCCTCCCAACAGCGGGTGTTTAACCTTTCAGCAAAACCCAAAACAACGACATTTAAACAGCAACTCTGGGCTGGGGACCAGGAGGGACGGCTGGGCGTTTCATTAAAAAAAAACCCCAAACACACAGATTTTAACGGGGTAAGACATATTCCTATAAAAAGACAATTTAAAAAACCCCAAAAATTCATATTACATTTGTGCCTTAAATTAATAATAACAGCAAAAAAAAATAGCGAAGGAGCACGTGTCTGAATAGCAAAAAAAAAAAGTTAAATCCCCCAATGGAGGAGGTTCCTGCAAAGCACATGACGAGACAGAGCCACAACACGGGGGCCTAGGGGGGAAGAATTCCTCTTCTGCTTATTTATGGTTGTTTTCGGTTTTAACACCCTAACTCAGCTCAACTGCTGCCGTTCCAAAATGAAAAAGGGTGAAAAGCCCCGATTTTGACCCCAAAGCAAGGGTGAGAGGGGGTTTGACCCGAGGTGAGCCGGGTCTGGCTCCACCAGCGCACGCTTTGTCTGAAAACACCCCGGGAATGTGCGCACCGAGAGGGCTGAGGGCGAGGGGAGCCTTCAGAACACGCGAATCCCATGTTTTAGTGTAAAAAAGAGCCCAGCCGCGGAGCCCGCGGGTCCCCGGGTGTCTGAGGGGCACAGCGAGGGCTTATCGGCCCGCCGGGGGAGCAGCCGAACGGACGGAGATGAGGGATGGAGATAGAGGATAAAAGACAGACGAAGGATGAATCCCCCGCCCCGTCCGCCATTACGCGCGTCCCCCTCAACCCCGCCAGAGGGGGGGGGCGGCCGCCGTCCGCCTCCTACCTCGGCCTGGGCGCAGCCGCCGCTCGCTCTAAGTCCCCCGCCGCCGGGAGAGTCCCCGGAGAACGGGGAGGAGGGGCGGGAGAGCCGGGATAACGGGGCGCAGGGAGCGGCGGGAGGATGGGCGGTGGAGCCGCAGCGAGAACCGCCGGGAGCAGCGCGGGGGCGCCGCGCGGAGGGATATAGCGCGCCGGGCGCGCTGCGGCTGAGGGCGCGGCGGAGGGGGCGGGCCGCGCTCGCCGCGGAGCACGCCGGGAGCCCGCCCTATATAAAGCGGCGCGGGCGCGCGCCCCCTCAGAGCGGCGGCGGCGGCCGGAGGGGTCGGTGCTGTGTTAGAGCCGCTTTGATGCCCCTTTCCCTTCTTTCGCAGTCCCCGTGGGGTGATTTCTGCAGCACCCCGCCTTTTTATCTTCTCGGTCAACTCATCCTGCCAGCTCGCGGCGCCGATGCCGGCATCTCAAGGGTCAAAAATAAGTAGCGGTTTGCCCCGAGGGTCACAGCGGGTTACGAAACGGGGGCCCCGCCTGGTGGTTGCAAAATGCGGAACGCGTTAAAAGTTTTCTTAAGCAACGGTGTTCTTTCGCGTCTGTGACTTTCTAAGCCTAATGAACGAGAAGGGAGATTTAATCCGCGACTCGCAGAGCAGCCAACAAGCTCTAAGGGAGTTAAAACTCTTAAGGTGTTAAAAATACCAATTACTTGTTAAAGTTTGGGGCTTGGTGATCTTGGATCTCGGGGGAGGTTAACAAGGCTCGGGAAAAGAAGGATGCCAAGAACTCAGTTTATGGGACATCTGGCAGAACTCCCAAGATCAGGAAGAAATTATTAAAGCTCTCAGCAATTGTGCTGAAATCGGCTCCAAATGGGCAAAGAAGGCAATTCTGGCAAGGGCAGATCCTGACCACAAACAAACCCAAAACCCCACAGACCCAAAAGAAGGGGAAGACGGAGTGCGGCACTAATTACCGCGGGGAGCCAGAGGGTCGTTAACCGGCAGAAGACGGACCACTAATTAATGAGAGAACGGTGTAAGTTGTGGCCAATGAACACTCGCTGATATGGATAAACTGTACAAGTTTTGGTGGCTGGGCGTTTGATCTGTGGGATTCCAGCTCTGAAGTAAGGGATCCGTGTCTGTCTCCGGTGTCATTCCTGGCCTGTCGCGCTCCAGGGAGTGAATCCCAGGGCTGGGGACAACAGTGGCACTGCCTGGGATTCAGGGACGGGAGGGACTGAGCTGTGTCCCATCCCCTGAGCCTCCCTCGGCAGCTTCTGGAATGTTCCTCTCAGCTGGGTCCCACCTGGCGCTTCTCCAGCCTCACCCACACGTGGATCCCCTTTGGGGTGTCCTGGCCTTGTGGAGACACAGGGGCAGCCCCAGTTTTTCCAGGGAAACCCAGCCCCGGACTGGTGAGGTGCTTGGGATGGACCTGCCCATCCCTGGGGGTGTCCCAGGCCAGGCTGGACAGGGCTTGGAGCGACCTGGGATAGCGGGAGGTGTCCCTGCCTGTGGCACTGGGTGGGATTTAAGGTCCCTTCCCACCCAAACTAGTCTGGGATTTGCTCTGGAGCAGCAGCAGGAACACCTTGTACCTCCAGTGAGTTTGTGTTCCTGGGGATACACTGAGTCAGTGTTCCCAAATCCAGCTTTCCCATGGCCTGTGGGGCTGGACCTGACCTGGAAGGGGATTCCAAAACCCTCTGTCCCCTCGGGTGGCCCCAGGAGCTCCTGTCCCTCCAGATTCCCTCGTGCTCTGGCCCACAGAGATGCAAAAGGACTGCAATAAAAGCCTGGTGGTCTCCCAAGAGCTGCAGCCAGAGCCAGTCTTGACCTGGCTGCTGGGAGGAAATCCCCCCGGAATGCTGGACAGGTCCCTCCATGCAGCACCCCCGGGGGGAGAATCGGGCTCTGCTCCCAGGGAACAGGGACAGGAGGAGAGGGAACGGCCTCCAGCTGTGCCAGGGGAGGGACAGGTTGGATATTGGGAAAATCCCTCCTGGAAAGGGCTGTGCAGCCCTGGCACAGCTGCCCAGGGCAGGGGGGAGTCCCCCTCCCTGGGGGGATTTCACAGCCCTGTGGATGTGGCACTCGGGGACATGTGGTGGCCCCAGGTTAATGGTGGCACTCGATGCTCTGGGGGGCCCTTGGCAGCTGCTGTCCCCAATTAACTCATTAACTCACCAGCCTGAGGTGACCCTGGGGCGGCGCCGGGGGTCTCTGCTCTCGCCGCTGCCACTGCCACCAGAGAGTGACGGCCCCTGGCTGCAGATGGGGCCACCAGCCCGGGGGTCCCCGCGGGGCTGGGGCTGCGTGACAGCGGCGCCGGGGTGGGGACAGACCCCGACAGTCCCCCCAGACCCCAACAGCCCTCCCGGCCGTGCTGGGAGCGGGGACGGAGCCCCAGCTGAGGCACTGGGCAGACTGGGAGCCCCGTGTCCCTGCTGGGGACAGAGCAGGGCACATCCAGCCCCGTGTCCCTGTCCCCGTGGCCGGGACCACATGCGGTGCTAAGCGAGCCCGCGTGTGACATTCCCGGTCTGGGTCTCACATTCCCGGCGGCGCTGGGGCCAGGCCGGGCCGTGTCCATGTGCTGGTGACATTCCCAGACTGACTGGGTGACCTTGCGGGGCTGCCCCGGCCCGTCCCGTCCCCAGCCCCGTATCCCCCGGATTTGGGGCACAGCCCTGCCCGTGCCCGGGGTCTCTCGTACCCCCGCACCACCTGAGAGCCGTGGAAGGGCCCCCGTGTCAAGGACAAACGTCCCCAGCCCCGCGGACATCCCGGGCCATTCCCGGCACTGCCGAGCCCCCCGTGCCGGCGGCACCCCCAGAGCCCCGTCACCCCGCATTTCCCGGGATCAGCCCCTTTGCCCCGGGCTATTCCTGGCCCGTCTGGCGACACCCGCTGTCCCAGCCATACAAGGAGCCGGCGGGGAGGTCATTTGTCCCCGAGGTGCCGCAAGTGGACGACAGCGACCCGGGAAGGGGGATTGTCACCTGCACGGAGCCACCTGCTCGGCCTGGCCGCGGGGACACCCTGCTGGCCTCCCGGGGACACCTCGTGCTGCTGCTGCCCCGAAATCCAGCCCCTTGTTTGGGAACTCGCCCCGGTGAGGGGCAGGTTCCCGAGGGATGAGGGCACGGCATGGAAATAGCTCCCCTTGGGGGGCCGTGGGGACAGTGCCACCATCAGATGCTGGGCTGGGGGACAAGGGGGGCTCTGCCCCCGACCCGGCCCCCAGCCCCACTGGGTTTGTTTTGCTCCTCAAGGAATCCCCCCATCCACACTGCCCATGGAGCCTCCGGGGACCCCCCAGGCTGCTGCCTCCCCACCCCTCAAAATCCCAGCCCGGAGCAGGGAAGGAGTTTGGGGTCACGCCGAGGGGTGTGGGGAGATTTCGGCTCCCCCCTTTCTGTCCTGGGGCTCCCCAGGAGTTTCCCCCTCCCACGGGCACCTCCTGTCAGAGCCCCCCGCGGGGCAGGCGGGACCCTCCCCGGTACCCCGATACCCAAGGCGGGGTGAGGGGCTGCGCTGCCCAACCCCGAGACCCGGGGCAGGGGATGGAGGCTCATGTTCCCCCCAGCCCACCGTGCGGGGCCCCGGGCCGGGCACTCACCGTCCGAGCGGGTCGGGGGGCGGCGGGCGGGGGCCCGGGGGGGTCCGTGGGCCCCGCGCTCGGGGGGTGTTGGAGCCGCCGCCGCCGCCCGAAGGCATGGCGGGGGTCGCGGCGCGGCGCTCCCGGCGCGGCCCCGCTCGGGGCTGGCGGCCGTCCCGGGACAGCACCGGCACCGCCACCGCGGGGGGGCGCGGGGGCGGCGCTGGGGGGGCCCCGAGCACGGGGGAGCGGGGATGGGACCCCCCGAGGGGGCCCCTCGTTGTGGGGGTGCAGGGCTGGGTCACCCCCCTGGGGTGCCCCCAAGCCCAGGGTGCAGCTCTGAGTCCTCCCCCGGGGATCCCCCCGCTCTGGGGGCGCGGGGCTCGGTGCCCCCCTCAGTGCCCCCAAAACGGGGGTGCAGAGCTGGGTGCGTCCACCCCGAGGTGCCCCCGAAACTGGGGGTGCAGGATGGGCCCTCCCGGGTGTCCCCAGTCCTGGGGTGCGGCTCTGAGGCCCCACCACTGCTCCACTCTGGGGGTGCGGGGCCGGGTGCCCCCCGCCCCCGAGGTGCCCCCAAAACTGAGGGTGCGGGGCTCGGTGTCCCCAAAACTGGGGGTGCAAGCTGGGCCTCCAGGGTACCCCGCCCGTTCTGGGGGTGCAGGGCCGGGTCCCCCCCAAAATCCAGGTTTGGGTGCCCCCCCCACCCCACGCGCTGGCCACGTGACAGCCCCGCCCCCTCTGTGTGTTTACATCAATCGGCCAATCAGCGCCGCTCTGACATCGCTCCCGCGCGGCGGCGCACGCGGCTTGTGTCGCCTTTCCCCATTGGTTGCCGATCCCGCCAATCACGGCCGGCGGCGCGGGGGCGGGGCCCTGGGGTTATTTACATCGCGTCTGGCCCCGCCCACCCGGCCCCGCCCCCGCGCGCTGCCCGTCTGACCCACGTGGGGGACGCGTGCGAGCGGCCAATCAGAGCCGCCGGGCTCAGCCAATCGGGAGGGCGGCTCGGAGGGCGGGGCCAAGGCCGTGATTGACAGCGCAGCGGTGCAATAGCGACCAGCTCCGGTCTCCTCCCACCCAACCCGGGCTCGCGGGGGCGGGGTCTGGCGGAGGGTCCCGCCAATGGGAGCAGGGGGCGTGTCCCCGGCGGGAGGGGCGGGGCCTGGCGGCGGCGGCGGCGGAGAGCGCGGAGCGGGACCGGCCGGGCCGAGGTAGCAGGGAGGGACACGGGGGGGGACACAGGGGGGACACGCAGGGGACACGGACACAGGGGAGACACGGCAGGGGACATGGACATAGGGACGGGGGGGACGCGGGGGGGGACACGGACAGAGGGACCAGGGTGACACGGCCCCAGGGACCGGGGAGGACACGGGAGGCCCCGGCCCGGTTCAGCTGGATCCCGGCAGGGAGCGGAGCATCCCCTGCCCCTCGTCCCCTCCCGCACCCCCTCGGGAGCAGCAGCCCAGAGCAGCCCCGGGGCTCCCAGAACATTCCTCTGGCTCCCAAAACCCTCCCCGGGCTCCCCAAACCTCCCCCCCGCCCCTCTGTACGGACCAGGCGAGGGGGCCGAGCCCCCGTCCCTGCTGACCCCCCGGTGGGGACAGGACACGTGGGGCAGGGGGACATCGGCTCCTGTCCCTGCTCCGAGCCCTCCCACGGCACGATCCCCGTTCCAGGGCACGGTCCCCCTTCCCCGGCACAGGCTGAGCTCCCACGCTCTCGGGACACGCACCCCGAATGTTCCTGGCCCGTGGAGGCGGCTGGGGCACAGGAGGGGCTGTCCCTGCCCGCCGGGGTTCGGGGGGTCTGGGACAGGTTCCGGGGGCTCAGCCTGGCCCAGCTGCTCCTGCTCTGCCCGCGGGTGTTTTCCCTGCCGGCTCTCGGCTTCCAGCCCCACGTGCCGGGACGGGGGGGGAATTCCTGCAGGAGCAGAGGGGGAAACCTGTGTGGGATGGGACGGACGGGGCTCCATCCCTTTGGGAGCTGCTGCTCGGGATCCACATCCCTCGGGATCCCGGGCCATGGGATCTGCAGGGAAGGCTGAGGGAACCTCGGGGCTGTGTCTGGGGCTCAGCAGCTCCGGGTAAAAGTGTGTGTTGGAACATTGTCCTGAAAACCCCCCAATGCTGCTCCTGTGCCGGGGATCCAGCAGGTTTTCCCTCGGGATTTCTCCCGGAGGACAAGCTGAGGGAATGGCACTTTTCCAGTCTGGGAGAGGGAGAGCCGGGGTGTGTGTGAGATCCACACGTGTCCCTGCAGGGCTGGGACACGGAGAGAGCCCAGCCCGGGGCAGGGGGACAGTGCAGGCTGTGACAGAGGGACTTGGGCACTCAGGGCCTGTGGAATTCCAGGTGTTCCACAGGGTCATGGGATGGCTCGGGTGGGAAGGGGGTTTATATCCCATCCAGTCCCACCCCCTGCCATGGGCAGGGACACCTTCCACCAGCCCAGGTTGCTCCAGCCTGGCCTTGGACACTTCCAGGGATCCAGGGCAGCCACAGCTTCTCTGGGAAATTCATTCCAGCCCCTCACCACCAACAAAGGAAAGAATTCCTTGCCAATATCCCACCCAAATCTCCCCTTTTCCAGTGGGAAGCCATTCCCTGTGTGCTGTCCCTCCATGCCTTGTCCCCAGTCCCTCTCCAGCTCTCCTGGAGCCCCTTTAGGCCCTGCCAGGGGCTCTCAGGTCTCCCTGGAGCCTTCTCTTCTCCAGGGGAACCCCCCCAGCTCTCCCAGCCTGGCTCCAGAGCAGAGGGGCTCCAGCCCTGGCAGCATCTCTGTGGCCTCCTCTGGACTCTCTGCAGCAGCTCCAGAACTCAGGGAGGTTTAACCATCCCAAAATTTCTCCCCACTATCCCATCCAACCCACCCCTCTGATGGTGTAAAGCCCCTTGTCCTGTCAGTCCCTTCCCTGTAGCTGGGGAAGGAGCAGGGTTGTCCCTGTCCACGAAGCAGCTGTTTGTTTTCTCTCAGACCCCCAGGACTCATCCCAGGTCTCCCATTCCTGCCGGGAAATGTGACTGTCCCTGAGCTGTCATCGCTCCTCCAGTGATAATTCCAAACAGGACAGGGCTGTCATCATTCCCTGCAGGATGGGGCTGTCAGCACCCAAATCCCAGATCTGACGGGTGGCTCCAGCCGGTGCCCTGTCCTGGCCCCTCCCCAGGGCCCATTCCCGTGGGATTTGGGGTTGGTGACCCTCCCCTGCCACAGCCATGGCTGAGCTGCCAAATCCGGGGGCAGATCTGAGAATCATGGAATTGTTCAGCTGGGAAAGGACCTCCAAGAACATCAAATCCACCCAGTGAGCTCTCCGTGGAATGCAGGTGTCCAGCCCCAGGAAGGTGTTCCCGTGGGTCCCTGATCCCAGGTGTCCAGCCCTGGGAAGGTGTTCCCGTGGGTCCCTGATCCCAGGTGTCCAGCCCTGGGAAGGTGTTCCCGTGGGTCCCTGATCCCAGGTGTCCAGCCCTGGGAAGGTGGGTCCCAGTGGGGCCTCCAGAGCAAACAGAGATAAAGCTGCTCCCATGGGTCCGGAGCCCTGGCACAGGGATCACTGGAATTGCACCACTGGCACAGGGATCGCTGTGCAGCCCTGGAATTCCCCTGCTGGCTGTTTCTGTCTCCCTGCCCACAGCCAGGCAGGGAGTGCTGGCCCTGTCCTGGGGGAAGGACATCTCCTGGCCCCATTCCCTTAAAAAAGTCTAGGAGAGAGCTGGAGAGGGGCTTTCCCAAGGGTCTGGAGAGCCAGGGCCAGAGGGAACGCAGAGGGCAGGGTTAGATGGGATATTGGGAAGGAAATCCTCTGGTTAACCCTGTCTGTGCCAGGGAGCTGCTGGAGCAGGTCCAGAGGAGGCCCCGGAGCTGCTGCCAGGGCTGGAGCCCCTCTGCTCTAGAGCCAGGCTGGGAGAGCTGGGGGGGTTCCCTGGAGAAGAGAAGGCTCCAGGGAGACCTGAGAGCCCCTGGCAGGGCCTAAAGGGGCTCCAGGAGAGCTGGAGAGGGACTGGGGACAAGGCCTGGAGGGACAGCACACAGGGAATGGCTTCCCGCTGCCAGAGGGCAGGGATAGATGGGATATTGGGAAGGAATTGCTGGCTGGGAGGGTGCTGAGGCCCTGGCACAGGTTTCCTGGAGAAGCTGTGGATCCTGGAGAGCTGCAGGATCCGTGAGCTGCCGGGAGCAGGACGTGGCTGGGGCTGAAGCAGCTCGAGGAGGAGCTGTTTGTGCTGAATTTGGAATGAGGATCCTGAGCATTCCTTGGCCTGGGCTCAGCAGCAGCGCCGGCTGTTCCGGGGAGGCTCCCCGGGCCGGTGCCCGAGCGGAGCCGGGGTTGTTGTGGTGGCTGGGGATTAAAACAGTGCGGGAGCGGATTATCCCTGATCCGGGGTGGAAATAGGCCGCGGTTCCTCGGCAACTGGGAGAGCTGGGAATGGAAACTCCACATCTCCAGCAGGGCCTGGCACCCCCGGGGAGCCCAGCGCGGGAACACCGGGAGCATCCCCGTGATCCTGGGAGGCTCCTGCTCCCTGCTCAGAGGGCAGAGCCAACGGGGGCAGGGGGTGACTCCCCAGCTCGCTCCGGAGCAGGGAATAAAACCTCAGGGATAAACCTGTAAAAGGGGGAGGAGAAGCCTGGAGGGGGAAAAACGCACTTGGAAAAGCCGGGGGGGCGGTGGGGGAGCCTGGGCTGGGGGAAACGCCGGGCCCAGGGAGGCCGTTCCCGGAGGGATCCGGCTGGGAGCAGGGAATGTCCCAGGGCCGTGCGGGGCAGCTGGGAGCGCTCCCAGCCAGTGGAAAAATCCGGCCAGGAGATAAAGCGGGATAAGAGGTCCTGTTTGGACCTCTGGAGCGCAGGGACTTTATCTGGGGAGGGAGACTGGAGGCAGGTGATCGGGATCCCAGGGCGTGGGAGGGACGGGAGTCAGGGAGGGAGCGCTGGGAGAGCGGCTGGACCAGCTGGACCTGTGGAGCAGAGCTGGGACGGGAGAATCCATCCCCTGGGAGAGGAGGCTGACGAGGTGCTTTTCCCTAATTGCTGCTTCGAGGGAGTTCAGAGGTGGCCTGAGAAAGGTCCAGCCCTCTCTTCCCTGCACGGAACCATGGAATCTGGGGGGGAAGGGACCCGGAGTTCCACCCAGTCCCACCCCCTGCCACGGGCAGGGATCCAGGGGCAACCACAGCTTCTTTGGGTGACCTGTGCCAGGACCTCCCCACCCTCCCATCCAGGAATTCCTTCCCAATATCCAAAATAGTGGGGAAGAAAAGGTGGGATTCTCTCTGTGACTCCCCAGGTTGGAATTTGGGTGTTGTTAATGCCCCAGTGCAGGAGCTCAGAGGTGCAGCCCCAGCTCTGCCCTCCCTCGCTCCGAAGCCCTTGGGGGGCAGTCAGGAAGGGGAGCCATGGAAAGCTCGGGGAAGGGCTCAGTGTGGGCTTTTCCTGCAGTCTGGGTTGCCTGGGTGGGTTTTCCTGCTGAACCACGAGCCTGTCTGCAAACACAATGATTCCCAAAGCTATTTATAGCTCTGGGAGCCCTGGCCCGCCGGGCTCTCCGGCACAAACCCGGGAACGCTGCCTCGGGAGCGCGGCCTGGGCCCAGGGCTGGGCTTGGGAGGGAGAGCGGGACCATCTGTGCTGCCTGGAGCCAAGGCTGGGGCTTCTCCTGTGTTCCCTGCTCCTGTGTTCCCTTTCCCTGTATTCCCTTTCCCTGTATTCCCTTCCCCTGGGCTCCTTCTCCCTCCTGCCAGAGGGCAGGGTTAAGAGGGATTTTGGGAAGGAATTGCTGGCTGGGAGGGCGGGCAGGCCCTGGCACAGGTTGGGCAGAGAAGCTGTGGCTGCCCCTGGATCCCTGGAAGTGTCCCAGGCCAGGCTGGAGCCCCCTGAGCTGGGGGAAGGTGTCCCTGCCCATGGCAGGGGGTGGCACCGGGTGGGATTTCAGGTCTTTTCCAACCCAAACCATTCCATGGTTCCTGGACACCAGGCCTGGGTGCTGCTCTCAGGAATCCTTTCTCCACCTCCCACGGAGTGGGATCACTGAATTCCCACCCTTCCTGCGTCCAGCGTTGGTGCCGTGGGCTCTGGGTGCTGGAATTGTTTTGGGATCTTCCCACGTGGTTGGTTTTCCTCCCATATCTCTCAGTCACTGTTCCCAGGAGTTGGGACCGCCAGGAAGCCCCAGCTGGGATCAGATCCCATGAAATCCATCACTGGGAACCATCTGGCCCTAAAGCACCACCCAGAGCTGCCCCAGATCTCTGTTCCCAGCCTATGGTGTCCAGGGAGTGTGGGATTATTGGGAAAGGGCCCTCCCAGGGCACTCCCTCCCTCTGGGCAGAGATCCTTGGGATTTTCCGTGCTCTGGAGCAGGACCAGGTGCTCTGTGTGCTCTGGATGTGCTTTCTGAGCTCCAACAGTCCTGTTCTTTTTTTTTTTAAGCTATTTAATTTTCCATAGGAAAACAGAAACAAATCCAAGAAACCTTCATTGTGGAAGAGCCAGGGTTTGAATTTATTTGCTTTCTAGTGGAGCCACATATCCCAATTCCTGGAGCTCTGGGAGCCCTTGGAGCATCCACAGCCTGGCAGGTCCAGCTTTGGTGACTCACAGAGGGAACACACAGCCCAGAATGGACACTGAGCCTGGAAAACGCTCCCTTTTCCCGGCAGGAATGCTCTGCATGGCCAGGGCTGCTCTGGCTGAGAGGGGAAACCCAGGACCTTGCATCCTGGAGACCCAGCTGGGAAAAAAGGAGATAAAACACACTTTGGTTGGATTTGGTTCCATGTTTGGAGTCTATAAGGTTGGAAAAGACCTCCAGGATCACCAAGCCCAACCATCCTGGAAGGTGGTGGCGGTGTCCACGTGGGAGCTGGCGTGGATCTGGGCACAGGGGTCCCCAGCAGCTCCCTCATTCCCACATTTCCCCCCTCCCAGAGTCCGTAAGGATGAATGGCTCCGAGCTCGCCAGCACCACGGCATCCAGTCCCAAATCCAAGGAGGAGCAGGTGGTGAACGGGCACGATGAGAAGGAGAACAATCCCTTCGCCGAGTACATGTGGATGGAGAACGAGGAGGACTTCAACAGGCAGGTGAGACTCCCAGCTCCAGAGGTGCACAGGGATGTGGGGATGGAGAACAGGGAGGTGAGAACAGCAGGCAGGTGAGGCCTGGGGGAGTTCCCAGCTCTGTGCATCCTCAGGGAGAACAGGGGGTCCTCGGACCCCCCGTGGGAAGGGTGGCTCAGGGAAGAGTCATCCTGCCTGTGCTGGCCCTGCCTGGAAGGACGTGGCGCGGATGAAGCTGGAAAGGAGCCCTCACGGAGCCTTTGATCCCCTCGGAGGGATGGTGACATCACTTCTGCCAAGCTTTTGGGATCCAGGCCTTCCCTATCCACATGCTCAGCTGGAGGCGCAGGACTGGCACCCTGGTGAGCCCTTGGAATTGGAATGTTTACATCCCGGTTGTCCCAGCAGGGAGATCCTGCAGCCACTGCCTGGGTTTGGGGAGAAATCCCTGATTCCAGTGAAATCATCCTGGATACACCTGGAGCAGCCGGAGCTGGAGCCCTGGGATGCTGTGTCAGTAAGGGACAACAAAGCTCCTGAGAGCTCCTGGAGGACTCCAACAGCCCTTGGTTGTGGAATAATGACATGGGAGCAGCTCCACAGCGTCCTCCTCATCCTCATCCAAATCCCAGGGCAGCCTGAGGCAGCGGGAAGGGCTCTCTGGAGGCTCCTGGGATCCTCCTGCCACCATCCCAGCAGCTGAAGAGAACTTGGACACCTTGGATCGGGAGAGGAGGGAGTTTATCCCTGCAGCTGAACTCCTGGACGCTTGTCCCCTCCTGGAACATCCCTGGGACTGCGGCCAAGCCCTGATTCCATCCCTGGGATGTCCGGGAAGGACCCTCCGGAGCTGTGGGCAGGCTGGGCAGAGGGAATTCCCACCCCCTGCTCTCCAAAGGAAGATTCCACCAGCATTCCTGGTGTCCTCAGAGAAACTCTGCCAGTGGTGACGGTGCCTCTGCCACCCTCACATTCCATGCTTGGGGGCTGCTCTGGGATTGGGATCTGGGGCTGGATCTTCCTCTGGATCCCTCGCTCTCTGCTCTTGCTGAGCTCTCTGGAGCCCCGTGGCCTCCCTGCCTCCTCCAGCAGGGATTTGGGCCCCGGGCAGGGAAGGGGCAGGAGCTGCAGGTGCTTCACCACCCACGAGCCGCCCGGCACGTCCCTCCCGGAGCCACCGACATTCCTGTCCCATGGAGCCGCATCCTGAGGGCAAACGGGGAGTGCTGGGAGCAGGAACTGCTGACAGCAGGGGCGGCTGGAGCGGGCAGAGGTGTCAGAGGCAGGTGGAGCACAGGGAATATCCACCTGGATTGCAGGGCTGGGAGAGGCACCAAGCGTGGGAGTGCAGGGTCCCGGGACAGTCCCGGGGACCTCCAGCCCCATCCTGCCCCTCTCCTGCCTCCCTCTGCTCCCACATCCCTGCGGGAGCAGCTCCCAGAGCTCCAGCCAGATCCTGGGGCTTTCCTGATCCTCAGGAGGAGGTTTCCTGCAGTGTCATCCCTGGAGCTGTGGTGGGAGCCGAGTGTCACCCTCTGTCACCACCTGCAGGTGTGACAAACCTGCAGGGAGCAGGAAAGGCTGGGAATGCTCTGGGATTGCTCCAGAGCAGAGAGGATCCGCCCAGCAATCCAGCTGGGATAGGATCAGCCATCCTGTCCAGTTTGGAGCAAGGACAGGGAGAAATCCTGGAGAAAAGGAGGCTCAGGGGGGACCTTCTGGCTCTGCAACTCCCTGACAGGAGGGGGGAGCCGGGGGGTCGGGCTCTGCTCCCAGGAACAGGGACAGGAGGAGAGGGAACGGCCTCCAGCTGTGCCAGGGGAGGGACAGGTTGGATATTGGGAAAATTCTTCCTGGAAAGGGCTGTGCAGCCCTGGCACAGCTGCCCAGGGCAGGGGGGATTTAACAGCCCTGTGGATGTGGCACCTGGGGACGTGGCCGGGGTGTCCCTGGCAGTGCTCCATGGTCTCCTAAGTGATCTCTCCGGGCAGGTGGAGGAGGAGCTGCAGGAGCAGGAATTCCTCGACCGCTGCTTCCAGGAGATGCTGGAGGAGGAGGACCAGGACTGGTTCATCCCGTCCCGGGACCTGCCCCAGGGGGTGGGGCAGCTGCAGCAGCAGCTCAACGGGCTCTCGGTGGGGGACGGGCACAGCTCCGAGGACATTCTGGTGAGGGGCCCACGGGGTGTGCCCTGCCCGTGGCAGGGCTGGGACCGGGTGGGCTCTGGGGCCCCTTCCCGCCCACATCATTCCAGGATTCCGTGGACTTGCTCTCCGGAAGCCCTGGGATGGGGCTGCCGCTTTCTCACGTGGCACAGCACGGACAGGGAGACACAGATTGTCCGTGTTTTCCCCCAAAACCCATCCTGGGAGCACGGACCTTGGAGCTGGGTGATGGTCCATGAGGGATCCTCGGGGTGCAGGGGTTTGGGGTGCAGGGGTTTGGGGTGCAGGTCCCTGGAATGAGAGGGATGCCGTCCTTGGGGCACTGATGGATCCCCGTTCCCTCTTCTCTTGCAGAGCAAAAGCAACTTGAATCCAGATGCCAAGGAGTTTGTGCCGGGCGTGAAGTACTGACAGGCCAGGCCTGGAGAGAGACTGAGTCCCTGCTGCAGGGAATGCCAGGGGATAGAGGGGGGACAGCCCGGCTGGACTCGGCGCCGGGATCTGCTCCAGCTTCAAGTACCTGTTTTTTTCCTCCTTTATTTTTTTTTTTTAACACTTTGTATCGTCCCATCACCTTTTTTTGGCGGTTTTTTGCTTCCTGGGACGTGTTGGCCCTCGGGCCTGTCCTGGATTCCAGCCTCTCCCTGCTCCAGAGGCCCATTCCTGCGTGTGCTTCGGCCCTGCTAGTGGGAAGATCCTGGGAAGATCGGGTGTGCTTGTTTCAGTAGGATTTTTAGGGCTCCCCTGCCAGGCTGGAGCTGCACTGGCCTTCCCCCATTCCCCTAAAGTGGATTTCTTCACTCCAGGTGAAGTGCACCAAGCTGTGATCCCGAAATTCCTCCAGGCAGCCGCTGCCCCGGCTCCACGATGGAAGCTGAGCACTCATTCCCACATTCCCGTGCTGGCAGGGGGGTCCTTCCTGCTCCAGCGGTTCTGGGGATGCTCAGGGGGCCCAGACCCCCCAGGCATCAACCCCTGGGAAGGGCAGCTCCTCCCAAACTCCTCCTTCAGGAATTCCCTCCCCAGCTCTTGAGCTCATCCAACACTACAGGCCGTGGCTCTGAAGCCTCAGCATCCGAATTCCTCTTGGATTTAAATCCGTTCTTGGCACAGAGGAGGGGTGGGGGGGGTTGTGGAGCAGCTTCCCTGGGACAGGAGCAGGATCCTCCTTTGGGCTGAGCCTGAGCCCCGAGGAGCCCCCCCCGAGGGATGATTTTGGGAGGGCATGGGCAGGTCCTGGGGCTGGTCCCTTTTCCCTTTTCCAAGGCTCTGGTGCTGCCTTCAGCAGAGGCCCTGGAGCAGCTGTTGGAGCAGGATCCGTGTCTGAGCTCCTGGGAACCTCCTTCCCCACCCATGGGAGCTGCAGCTCCCAAACCACGGCCCTGGCACTTCCAGGGGTCTAAATCGGGGGCTGAATGGGATCCTTCAGAGAGCTAGGGCTGGAAATCCCCATCCAGGGAAAGTGGGAGCTCCTAGGGGTCAGAAATCCCTGTCCAGGCAATACAGGTGTGTCCCAGGGCCAGCAATGCCTGCCCAGAGAAAGGAGGAGCTCCTTGGGGTAGGAAATCCCTATCCAGGGAAAGTGGGAGCTTGCCAGGTTAGAAATCCCTGAGAAAGCAGGAGGTTCCCTGGGTCAGAAATCCCTACCCAGGGACCCCTTTTTGGGGTCATAAATCCCTGTCCATGGAAAATGGGAGCTCTTTGTGGTCACAAATCCCTATCCAGGGAAATTAGGAGCTTCCCAAATTTGGGAATCTCTATCCAGGGAAATCAGGAGCTTCCTGGGGTTGGAAATCCATGAGAAAACAGAAGCTTCTCCAGGTCAGAAATATATATCCAGGGAAATTAGGAGCTTCCCAGGTCAGAAATCCATGAGAAAACAGGAGCTGCTTGGGCCTAGAGATCCTTATCCAGAGAAACCAGGAACTTCTAAGGTTTGGAAATCTACATCCAGGGAAAGCAGGAGCCTCCCAGGGTCAGAAATCCCTATCCATGGAAAACGGGAGCTTCCTGGGGTCAGAAGTCCCTATCCAGAGAAACCAGGAGCTTTCTGGGCTTGGAAATTCCTACCCATAGAAAGTGGGGGCTCCTGGAGGTTGGAAATCCATATCCAGGGAAAGTAGGAGCTCCTGGGGGTCAGAAATCCCCATCCAGAGGAAAAGGGAGCTTGTCACGGTTATAAATGCATGGAAAGCGGGAGCTCCCGATCCAGGACAATTGGCACAGTTCCCGCTGGATGAGCCGCCGCTCATCCGTGTAAATCCCCCTCCCGGGCGCGGTTCCCCCCCAGTCCCGCCCCTAAAGGAGCCGCTAATGGATCGGGATGGGGATCCCGATGGCCATTAACTCTCGGGGCCATCGGACCGTGAACAAGGGCTGAGCCCACGGAATTCCCTGCTCCCAGTGCGCCCCGGAGCCTCCCGGTTCTCCCAGCTCCGGCTGCCGGGCTTAATCCCGGCGCTGAACCCCGGCTGGAACCAGCAGCCCTATGGAAGCCCCATCCAAGTATTCCAGGTTGGGGTGAGTTCTCCCCTTTCCCGGTGCCTTCCTGGCCGGGCAGGATGGGATCCAGGGAGCTGGGATGGGCAGCGGGAACTGGGATGGGCAGCGGGACACTGGGTGAACCCCTGGAGCGATCCCACTCCCCCCTTTCCTTTTCCCTCTTCCCCTTTGATTTCCTACTCCCTCCCCCTCCACGTGCTGTAAATTTCGGACAAGGCGTTATCAAAAATAAACTTTTTTTGGAAGGGAGCGGGGCCAGAGTTTTCCCTGGAAAAGCAGGGGAGGGCTCTCCATCCCACGCCAGCTCCGGCGGGGCGGTTTGTCTGTCACCACCATCCATCCCAGTGACCCCGTCATTCCCAGTTCGGGCGTTAGATGGCTCTGCTGGCGCTGCTTGGAGCCGTGTCCCTGATTTCCTTTGGCTCTGCTGGCGCTGCTTGGAGCCGTGTCCCTGATTTCCTTCGCGGAGCCACCTGGAAGCTCCCGGAGGGTTTTCCCCCGCCCGCCCCTCCCTGCGCTGGCACCTTTTTTTGGGCAGTTTTGGGGTTGTGCTTTGGGCCGGGCACAGTCCCCGCTGCTGATCCCAGGCAAAAATAACCCAAAAGGGCTTTTTATCCTTGTTTTTCCCTTTGAGATGAAGATCAGCCCCAAAAGCTGTGAGAGCAGGGGCAGGGCCGGCCTCCGCAGCTCCGTGTCCCTTCCCTGGTCACGGATGTCACATCCCCTGTCCCCATCTCCGGGGTCCCCTCGGTGCTGACAGGGCTCAGAGGTGTCACCTTTCCTCCTCTTCCTCCTCCTTCCCTGTCTGCTTGGATCCAGCTGCCCCCCGAGCCCCAGCCCCTCCCTGGCAGGCTCAGCACGCCCTTCCCGTTCCCATCCCATGGCCACGCTGCAGCCCGGCCCCCTCGGGCACCAAACGGGAACTGAAACAGGAACCTTCAGGGTTCATTTTCCTTCCTTTTCCAGCAGCCCCTCCTTGGCTCGGGGTGTTCCCATCCCCAGCAGGGCTGAGCTGGGGACAGTTCCTGTCCCGTGGCTGCCAGTCATGTTCCTGGCCCCACACTTCCAGCCCCATCCTGCCGCATTCCCTGCTCTCCTGACCTCATTCCCTGCCCTCCAGCCCCATTTCTCTCCATGCCCGCTCTCTCAGTTCTATCCTGCCCCATCCCCACACTCCATCCCTGTTGTGCCCCATGCCCACATTCCCAGCCCCACCCTGCCCTATCCTGTCCCATCCCTGTGCTTCCAGCCCCATCCATCCCCATTCCCATCCTCCCCCCCGCTCCAGCCCCTGTCCCCACCTCACCCCACTCCCCTCGGGGCAGTGCAACCTTTTTATTGCCAAACCACAAAGCCCTCAGCCCGCGCCCCCCGTGTGTGGGGTGTGCGGGTCCCTCAGAACACGTGTGTGTAGAACACGTCCACGTTCCCGGCGCGGTCCAGGGGCAGGGCCATGCCCACGTTCCGGGCCCCCAGCCGGGCCCCCCCCAGCGCCGACGAGCGCTTCAGCTTCAGGAGGCTGAACCGGGAGAACACGCGGCCTGGGGCCTCATCCCGGGCCTGGGCCAGCACCTGGATGAACCCTGGCAAGGGGGGACACACGGGGGGGTCAGGTGGGAACAACCCCGGGCCCCCCCAGCCCGCCCGTCCCCGGGCTCACCCGCCTGCATCCGCTCCCAGCTGTTCCACACGGAGCCCACGCACACGATGGGCAGACCCAGCTCCCCCAGGAACAGGCTCTGGGGGGTTGGGCTGGGTGAGGGGGTGCCGGGACCCCCCCCTCCTGCCCCGCCCCCAGCCCCAGGTGGGCGCTCACCTGGTCGATTTTGGGCAGCACGGCCACCACGTGCCGTGCCAGCACCTCGCCCGCCTTGGTGAAGATGTGGCAGCACAGAGGGTCCCCGGCCTGGGCGCCTGGGGATGGGATGGGGGGTGGGATAGGGATCTGGGACCCCCCTGCGCCCCTCGGGGGTCCCACAAGCCGGGCTGGGCTGTGGGGGAGGGGGTGGCCCCATGTCCCACCCCCCAAGGAGTGCAGAGGGTGCTCAGGGCCAAGGTGCGCCCGGGGCAGAGATCAGGGAGTGGCATTGGGAGGGACAAACGGGGTGACAGTGCCCAGGGGGGCAGGGACAGCTCCCCCCCCCAAGAAGGGGCCTCCCTACCCTCTGCCAGCTTCTGGCAAAACCCTGCGAACTTGGACTTCTCGAAGGTGCGGTAGAGGTGGGTCAGGAGCCCCATCCTGTCTGAGATCTGGGGGCAGCCATGGGGACACAGGTGAGCTCTGGGGCCTGGCTGCACAGGGGACCTGCCCTGGGGACAGGGACCCCACCATCCCAGTGTGCAGCTGAGAGCATCCCCCGGACCCCACACACAGCCCAGAGACCCCCTGGATCCCAGCAGTGAGCCCAGAGCGCCCCTGGACCCCAAACCACAGCCCAGAGCTCCCCCAGACCCCGACACCCAGCCCAGACACCCCAGGACCCCCAGCCTAGAGTGCCCACAGACCCCAACGTGCATCCCAGAGCCCTCCAGGACCCCAAACCCCAACCCCCATCCCAGACCCGCCTGGGACCCCAACACACATCCCAGAGCCCGCTGGGACCTCGGTACACCTCCCAGCCCCCCCTCAGACGCTGACCCACCCCAGATCCCCCGGCCCCCTCGCAGCCCCCCGCAGCACCTGGAAGTAGTCGAACATGGCCTGCCTGACGTATCCGACGTCGTGGGGCGGCACCTCCAGGTTGTCCATGCAGTCAAACACCATCTTCACAGCCTGGTGGGCGATCCAGTACGCTGGGGGGTCAGGGGCCGCCTCAGCCCCCAGGAGCTCCCCAGCCCCCAGGCCCCCGGGCTCACCGGAGCCTTCGTCGCCCATCATGTGCCCCCATCCTCCACAGCCCGTCTCGGAGCCGTCGGGGTTGATGAGTTTGCAGTTGGAGCCGGTGCCCGAGATCAGCACGATCCCCCCTGCGGGGCCGGGGGGCACCGTCACCCCCTGTGCCGGGGCGCCCCCCGGCCCTGCCCCCCCGGGGGTGCCCACCGTGGTCGGTGGCCGTGGCCATGGCCCCCACGGCGTCGGTGGTGATGAAGTAGCTCTGGCTCAGGTGGGGGAAGCGCCGGTGCAGCTCCTCCGTCAGCTTCCCGATGGCGTCCTGCTGGTCCCCCCCGCTCAGGGACAGCCCCTGCCCCACGGAGGGTCCCCGTCAGCCCTGGGCTGTGCCCGGGGGGGGCCCGGGGTGGGGGGACGGGGGGGCTCACCAGGGAGCGCAGGGGGACCTGGGGGTCGGCCCCCGCCTTGCTCTTGGCCTCGCTGACCATGCGCTCGATCCTCTCCAGGCACTTCTCAGAGCCGATGAGCTGGGACACGGGGGGGACACCCTAAAGCCCCCCCAGCCCTCCCCAGGCTCCCTCCCTGGGGGTCCCACGTGGTTCCCCGGCAGCCATGAGAGGGGGGACACCCCGGAACCTTCTCCACCGGCTTCATCCCACCCAAGTGTCCTGGGAGCTTGGGGACAGCCAGAGCCAGCCCCCCATGTCCCGTATCCCCTCTCCATGTCCTGTACCGCCCCCAGGCCTCACACCCCCTCCCCTGTCCTGTGCCCCCCGCCGTGCCCTGGTGACCCCCGGGCCGGGGAAGGGGTGTCCCCCAGCTCACCCAGTGGTTGGTGCAGGGTCCCTCTGTCTCGGCCAGGATTTGCCCATCTCCGGACACCAGCACCACCCTGGAGTGGGTGCCCCCACTACCGAGAGAGGGGGGGAGGCACACTGCCAGCACTACCCACAGCCCCCACCCCATCCCACCGAGGGGGGGCCCCCACTCAGCCCCACCAGCCCCCAGAGGTGACAGGAGGTGGGTAGGATCGGGACTGGGGGTTCTGGAGAGGGGTAGGACCAGGATGGGGATCCCTGAGACTGCCCCGCCCCGCTGACCTCGGTCCTGGCCACACCCTGGACAGGGCAGGAGGGGTCGGGGGGCAGGAGCCGATCGAGGGGGGCCCGGATGGAGTCCCCTGTTGCACCCCCATCGATTCCAGTCCCCGCGATCCTTCCTGCCCCCTCCTCCTCCAGGCTGGGGGTCCCCGGGAGCGGCGGGTCGGGGGCCAGCAGGGACGAGGGGGGTGCCCGGGGGATGGGGGTGCGGAGCCCTGGGGAGCCCCTCTGCCCGCAGCGCGACCCCTCACTCCTCCCGGGATCCCTCACCCCTCCCGGGACCCCTCACTCCTCCCGGGATCCCTCACCCCTCCCGGGACCCCCCATCCCTCCCGGGACCCCTCACTCCTCCCGGGATCCCTCATCCTTCCCGGGATCCCTCATCCCTCCTCGCATCCCTCACTCCTCCCGAGACCCCTAACCGCTCCCGGGACCCCTCATCCCTCCCGAGATTCCTCACCCTTCCCGGGATCCCCCAACTCTCCCGGGACCCCCCATCCCTCCCGGGACCCCTCACCCCTCCACGCCGCCGAACAGCGACGCCATCGCGGCCGCCACAGCCCCGCCCACGGGCCACGCCCACGGGTGGGGCTTCCTCGGCCACGCCCACTGTCATATATAGTGCGTGGCCACGCCCATCGCCATATAGAGATTGGTGTCCTCCCGTTATGGGCGTGGCTTCACCACCAGACACGCCCCGTCCCGCTCATGCCACGCCCACCCGATACGCCCAATGACCGAGGCCCCGCCCTCTCTCCGCTCTCTGGGCTTTGGCCCCGCCCCCGGTCCTTGTGCCCACCCCGTGTCGCCTTCCTGCCTCCCTCGGGGGTCCCGGGACCCCCGAGATCACCCGGGACGCAGCCCGGCGGTCCCACCCGCAGATACAGCCCCTATCGCGATATAACCCCTTCGCACTCACCCGCCTGCCCCTCACCCCCCAGTCCCTCACCGAGGCACGCACCCACCCGTGACACAGCGCCCCACGCACACAGCCCCCACCCAGCCCCCCGCAGTCGGACCCCATCGAATCACTCCGGCCCCGGCGCGGGGGGTCCCCCCACTCGTGCCCCCAGCTCCCCACCGCGGCACCGGGGTCCCCTCTGTCCCCACATCCGCGTGGGTCCCCCCGAGTGCCCCGTGGGTGGGGGGTGCGGGGGCAGCTGTGAGACCCTCCCGGCCGCGGGGGGTCCTGGGCACAGCTGAGCCCCTCCCCCGGCAGCGGCCTCGGCGGGGGACAGAGGTGACAGTGATGGCAGTGGGGACACTGGTGACAGCCACGTGTCCCGGGGGCCGGGCAGGGAGGGAGGGACAGGGAGGGACAGATGGAGGGAGAGA